CCGTCAATTGCTCTTCTTAAGGGAGAACTATGTTTCTTGCGTCGGCACAGGAACGTTGTGCAGACGGCGCACGCATCATGTGTCAAGGGCTTTCAGCTATATATGCGTGGTTGCTTGTTTCCAAATAAAATTCGCTCGTGTGCGCAAAGCCTCTTATCTGTCTTCATCTTGTGCACTTTCGCCCTGTTGCGTCAAACCAGCAAGCCCAAAAAGCCATCGTCGTGAACTTGGGGGAGAAGGCGAGCTCGGCGCTTGACGAGAGACAAACAAACAATGTGCGTGTCAGGTTTCCACGCACATGATTCACTATAAAGGGGCACGTTAAACTCTATCGACTACTCTTAAAAGAGGAGAGTTCAGTGACATCTTCTAGATTTGTTGTCGTCCGTGGGATTCTTGGCTCAGTTGTGCGATAGAAACTAGTCCACCTGTTTGCTCCCTCAAACGATCGAGTCACACATACTCTTTTTTTTGTCTATTTTATGGATTGCCGCCATACTGGGCTGTTAACATTTGTGTTTTGCATTTTGAACAAATAACCGTACAGTGTTACGGTAGACGCATACGCATGCAAACAGTTGGATTGGTGCATGCCATGTTTCAGGGCCTCATTAATTTACGTGGCGATATACAAAAACCAGGAAACATCGACTTAACAGCACAAGATGGTGGTAAAATAGTGAATGAACCTCGTGTTTTTAGCTAACGCTATGCATACGGCCACGGCGGTGGATTGTGGTCATACATGCATAACCACGGCTGTGTTCGAGTGCCTGTTGTCTTCTTGAAAGAGGAGCGGGACGAGTACGCTCTGCATGGGTGCGGCATTGAGTGACCGCGTTTAGAAAAGTGCAGTCGGGATCGAGGTACTCTTTCAAAGTCGAATTTTTGCGTGCAGTGCACAATGGACGCCACTGTTCCGAAAGGTGCTGGTTCCATAGTTGTCAGATGCTGCTGAGCTAACAAGTACATAATCATCATCGCAAAAGAAACCCCTAAAAAAGCGGCGCGATCTTGGCAAGTATGGTCTTAAAAAAGCGGCCATTATTTTTTAAAAAAGCGGGCATTAACTATAATAGAAAATGTATCTCAAATACGAACGGGTGTTAGAAAAATCGCTTTATTGGTGTTGCACTATGAAAATATACGCATTTATGCACTAAAACACATATTTGGATTGTAACATTGGTTCCAGGTAGTCACCACTCTGTTGAACGCACGTTCGTCCGTGCATTATTAAGGTTGGTTTGTTTATTCCCCCAACGTACGCTTGACTTCAACTCTTAACTACTCAACCTTATCGACGAACGTGCTATTGGCGAACGACAAACGAGCTTTTCGTAAGCGTGATGATCACTAAAATAACTGTTTGCTGAAAAAAACAACGGAGATGGTCGATATTATTAAGAGCCACGGAGTCTCTCGCTTTTGGTTGTTATAAACCACATAAACCAAACCGACCATACCGCACAAACATCACACACTTCGGGCTTGTTGACGGAACATTCTTCCAGTGCTGCTGAATTCGTCTACGACTGGAAGACAGCGCAGAGCTCTCGTCATACGGGTGTCGGGAATGTGTGCTATGCTCTGATGTACGACCACATCGCCGGGTTAAAATTCGGGTGGCAGACAGAACCGTGTTCGCGTGCCCTCACGTGATTCGTGTGGTAGATACTTGTGTAACTTAAAAAAATAAACTTCTTTATCATCTTTAGTACTACATTTATTGTTGGAACATATTTGCTGTATTTTTGTGTGAAATGAACGCTGTTCAACATTTAGTTTCGCTGTTAACCATTCTGATGATGTATTTGCATACTTCAATAATCTTGCCCGTCACGGTTATGGCGCTCGGCTGCTAAGCTGCGGCATTGAATCCTGGCTGCATCTTCGATGCAGGCAAATAATTTGTACGTGCACTTGAAACTGTCAAGAACGTTAACGGTGTGTTAGTGCGTTACGTGTTACCAGGCTTGTAGCCAGAAGGTGGCGGTGCGAAATACGAAGGAAGCGGAGTGGTTTGCGCAGAATAAGCAATGAAAATAGGGGTTTTTGAATGCTCCCGAAACCTGTGCCCCCCCCCCCCCCCAAAAAAAAACGAAAAAAAAAGAATCCTGGCTATTGGCCTGGTGTCCACGAAATTGAACTGACGGACTGGGTGCCATGTTTCCTAGATATTTGTACATACGAAATGCAATGCGGGGACGAATGTGTTAATGATGTAGTGCTGAAATATTTAATAAGAATAACTCATCTGTGCAAACTGACTTTCACTTTCAGCTGCCTCTTTGCATATATGAAGGAAAGAAGTGGAAATTTGAGGGCTCGTTTGTTTTTGTCAGGCGCAACATCAATGAGAAGTGACAGACATTGACGCCATGGAAAGTAGATGGAATGATATTTGTAGTAATCGTAATGTATATGAGAAGAAAGAGAAAAGTGGACTGAAGGATAATTCGCCTCGCTTAAGACGAGTGGTTTGCCCTCGCCGGTAGATGCTCCCCGGCGGGGCTGCCCGCCAGAGGTCATCGCCGCCGTCGGAACCGGTTTCACTGTGTTGACAGCGGGATCCCGGCGTCGGCGGCTGCTTCCCCCACTTTTGCTGGCACGAGTGTGGCAAAAAAAAAGCATTTGTCATGGCGGCATTGTGCGCCTATTTTGAGTATGCCACGCACACAAGTGTTAAAGAAGCACTGACACGCTTTTGAGTGAAAGTGGACGTTTTCCGTTTCCTCAGTAAGCAGTGTTGACGCTCTCCACGCACCAGAGTCTGACAACACTTCGTCACAGAGCAAGCCATCCCTACCGCAATGGCCCCGACGAATCATCCTAGTTCATTTGAGTTCTGATGATGCAAGCTGGCGTTTTGCATGCAGCCTAAATCGCAGGAACAACTGTCGGCGTCATTTGACGACAATTTGCTGATCGTTTTTTACGGTCACCACAAGCAAATGACAGATCTGCCGCTAGCACGTCGCCAGTATCTGTGACCCCGGGACGTCACAGTCATAACACGTCACTGAGAACCCTCTTGATATCGAAACTGAAAGTGTTTATGTCGTGGCTTTGAAAATTAGGCTTGATTGATTGATATGTGGGGTTTAACGTCCCAAAACCACTATATGATTATGAGAGACGCCGTAGTGGAGGGCTCCGGAAATTTCGACCACCTGGGGTTCTTTAACGTGCACCCAAATCTGAGCACACGGGCCTACAGCATTTCCGCCTCCATCGAAAATGCAGCTGCCGCAGCCGGGATTTGATCCCTCGACCTGCGGGTCAGCAGCCGGGTACCTTAGCCACTATTTCGCCGCGGCGGCGCTAAAAATTAAGCTTGTGCGAATGGTGAGTTTTAGGTTCCAAGCGAATTTGAAGCAAATAGTGCTTTTGGTCGAATAATTTGGAATGGAATTCGAATAGTATATGTCACATGTTTAAAAGAAATTGAGCAAATCTGTCATGACCCAACTTATCTGCTCAATATGTATCGAAACAAGGCCTGTGTAAAGGCGTTTTCGTTTTTTCGTTGAATAGCAGCAAACTTTGGCTTAAAGGTAGAATGCAAGTGATAAGCAGTACATATGCGATGTCTTAACATTTTCTATACTTCGAGCATATAAGCTGGAATGTCATGCTTCTAAACGTCAAAAATGATGAATAGATGCGAGGATGATATGTTCATTTAATCTCGAAGTGGGGCTTTGCTGCAGTGCAGATTTATAATAATTAGTTGTTTTCACGGCTTAGCATTGTTTCACTGCAGTGAAACAACTTTTACAGAGTTTACACGCGGTTTAATATTTACTTTTTTTATTTTATTCGCAGTACTTTACAGCTCCCTCGAGGGGCATTGGGTAAGGGGGTGGTACAGATAATACGATATATATATATATATATATATATATATATATATATATATAACGTATTATCTGTACCACCCCCCTTATTCATTCCAAATGAATTTAAATTCGGGTCGAAGTGAATTTGATTCTTGTGATATATTCGATGTATTCCCAGGTTCCCAGGCACCCGAATACTCATTTTAGAGTACTCCCTTTTCCCCAGCGAATGGTAGCTAACTTCCCTGCCTTCTCTCTTGCTGTTCTTCCCCAACACCAGTGTTTTCTTTTAGAGCTGCAATGAAAAAAATATATTTAAAATTCTTGTCATTTCTGTCGTAGCTTGGCGTAATGTAGGAAAACGCGCGAATAACAGCACAGCCATCTGTTCAGCGTGAGCGCTCGCTCGCCCCGCAGAGAAGTCTTCTTGTTCTTCGAGCGAGGCCTTGACGACAATATCAAGGGCGGACTATGGCTAGCGAAGCACGAAAACACAAATCACTCATCGTTTTTAAAAGAGAAAGCGAGTGAGAAAGGTAAAAAATAAATAACCGAATAGAAGAGGAAAGAACCTGGCAAAAAATGGAAACGATAACAGGGAAGAAATGGAGGTAGAAAGGAAAGCCGCAGAGAAGGCTCCGCACTTTTTTTGGGGGGCTACTAAGATTATTATTATTATTATTATTATTATTATTATTATTATTATTATTATTATTATTATTATTATTATTATTATTATTATTATTATTATTATTAACTTGACGCCAAACTGGGGCGTCACTGGGGCGGGCGGGCAGGCAGGCAGGCAGATAGATAGATAGATTCTGTTGGTTATTATGCCCCAGAACTACGATATCATTACGTGCAACAGCTCACCACGCCGTAGTGGTGAGCTGTAGAAATTCGGACCGACTCGTGTCTTTAACGTGCACTTATATTGCAAATTTACATGGCTTCTACTATATTGCCTCCATCGAAATGTGATTGCCGCGGCCGGGATCGAACCCGTCGCCTTCGGGTCAGCAGCTGAGAACCACAACAACTGCTCCAACGCAGTGGGCTCTGAAAACATCTAATCTCTCTTCTATATGCTACTGCTGCTACTGTGTTTTTCTTCTGAACAGAGGGCTCATGTTACTCGGTGTACCTTCCTCGCAGATTCGGGGCCCAGCGCGGCAAGGCTGGACCTTAGGCAGAAGAGCGCGGCCGCCGACAACATGGCTGACCAAGAAGACCAGCAGCTGATCGGCTTCGACGACAGTCCCGTGGTCCTGCCGACCGAGTCATCCAAGAAGGTCGCCACCGCAGCGCCTAGCGAGGCCGAGCAAATCCTCAACACCCTGAATGCCGAGAAGAGCCAACTGGCGGGGGCTACCACCACCAACGGGCACAATGGTGACGCCGTGGTCTCCACCAATGGCCACAACGGCGACGTCGCACCCAACACGAATGGGCACGACGAACATGAGAAGACGCTCAACGGCCACGTGCCCAAGGCTAACCACATTGAGGCTGGGGAGCCCGTCTACACCGAAGTCCCAGAGGACAACATCTACGAGGAAGTCATACCCATGCAGGATAACAAGCCTCAAATCTTGCCGACTGCTCAGGTGACTCGTCTTTTCTATTTTGGTAGGGAATAGGACAACTGACATTGCCAGAAGCAAAGCCTCCGAGATAAAGGGGTGTTTCGCGACTTCCCTTCTAGGGGAAGGGCGCATGCACCAGGACATTGTTTCATTTTCCTGTGCAGCCCTCTGCCGTTTATGGCAAGGAACGGGACAATCGGTACTACCAGAAGCAAAGCCTCGTATATGAAGGGGCGTATCACGACTTTTCCGCTAGGGAAGGCGTGCATGCATCGTGGCACTGTAAGAAAGGCGAATTGGGGTCACTGCTGTTTTCACAGTGTGCATTCAACCCACACTTGGCACGCAAGACGGCATCAGCAAGACACATAGGATTACAGACCACCGGAGCTCTCCAACTCGCCTCAACTGGCGTTTCTCAGTCCCAAAATTTAGGCTCACGAGGACCAGGATCGTAGTTATGAAGTGCATGCAGTAGTAAGGAAAGCTGAGCTAGCTTGTGTACGATCACATTGTGTAATGCCGCAAATAATTAAGATACAGGGACACAGGTGCTAACTTCACAGCGACTCCACTAATGGAATACTAGTTTTCCCATACCGACTTTTTTTTTTAGCGACGTTTAGTTTTCGGAAAGACGACACACGCAAACAAGTGGTCATGCTCAATGACTGCGTAGAGCAGGACACACGTAACCAACTTTTCACTTTTCCATTTTACAGCCCTTAGACAAGCAACCCCAGTTCCTTTTCTGACAGGTATAAAGATGCATGGGTAGCTCATGCATTTATCTCCCAATCTTGTAATGAAAAAAGAAATGCATTTCCGACCTCTATAGGTGCTTTATTGTCGTGTTGAAATAGAATGGTTGTGTCATCAATCCATCAAGACCGAGTCCCTGTCAGTTATTTGTGCCATTCCATGGTATAAACAGGTAAAGATTGTAAAATCAGGGGAAGCGGGGCCAGTTTCAGCAGTGTCACCTGCATACGCCATTGTGAAGGACGCTTTTTTCATATCTCACATATAGGTCCTTTCTCCAGAGGATTTGACGTGCAGGTTTAGAAAAGCGCGTCGCCACCAATTTTCACAATGACTAAGTTTTAGAGGCCAACTCTAAAAGATGGAATTTTCTTTACATGATGATGTTTCAACTCACAGCGACCGCAAGAGCTTCCGCACAAAAAAATAAAAATGCTTGCCACCAGTACAGTGTCGATTATAAGAGAAAAGGGCAGTTAATTGCAGTAGGCGACAAAAATCACAGCTTATCCATGCCGTGAATAATGATGAGTAGGGCGAAGCTTCACAGGGTTTCATCGGTAAACCGTAAATCCGCCCGTCCATCCGTATGTATGTCTGTCTGTATGTATGTCTGCCCGTCCGTTTATGGAAACATGTCGAATGATGCGAGCGCCATCTAGTGATACAAATACTTCGCGTACTAGGGTACTATGGCAGACAACTACGGCAGACAAACCTAAGGAGCTTCGCCCCTAAAAACTCACAGGAACCCTCGTGCATTCACCGAAGAGGACTCGAAGGTGAAAGGCATTTTCTTCACCTCCTTCTCAGTAGTAGATGTACTCTACAAGGTAGCAGAGAACACAAGCCGTGGCTTCACGTGCACGCCCCACTGCCAAGCGCCGTGTTCATTCTCTCCTGGCGAGGTCACGCGCTCTCAGGTTCTGGTCGCCTCCCCAAGGACGACGCTACAAGGGCATCGTGCGTGAAGTCCCTTTAGTCGTGTAGCGTTACGGCGCATGACCGCATGCTTGAATTTGTGACGTTCGAGATTTTCGCTTGCTCTAACGTCATGATGATGTCATACGGTGACGATATACATCATGCGATTGGGATTTTTTTTTTTTTTTTTGCATTACACTTCCCCGACGCTGCGGGACGGTCACCGCCAACGGTCGAACATCCCGTCTAATTAGGTGCAGCATCCTTCCTCATGAACAGCTTGTGCACTCATGATCACTATAGAAGCTGCATGCACAGAAAAACAGGATAGTGCATGGCGGCACTAGCACTGGCCGAGAACGGACGGCTGTATTTAGATTTGTATTGCTAGCGGCGATTGTTACGTATAGGAGAAAAGTGCACGATATTGTTGAACAGTTATTTATTTGTATGTGTATATATTTCATGCATCGTGGCAAATAGAAATCAGTTGGGGGTCAGCGCTCGCGTTTGCGCCCTTTCCATCGTTGTCTTCTTGCGCAGTTTTTTCGTTACAATGCTGCCAAACCAACTAGCCCACATTATCATCACGCCTTAACAGTCTGTAGCCAGGTTTGTCTCTGGCGTCCCGTATGGTCACTTATGTTGCTGCAAAGAAGCGCACTGAAGTTCATTTCTTCACAAAACGTCTTGCTCGTGCTTGTAGAACCATCTAGCAGAATAAGTTTCTGCTAGACTTAATGCGACTTTATTCTTCTCGCAGACAACCCCGACAGAGAGCACGGGTGTCCTTTACGACGACTCATCGCTGTCCAGCGAAGTGTCCGCGGAGCTGTCTCCACCTCCCTCCAACATCGGCGACTGCGGTTCCAACGGCACAACCTTGTCTGACCCCGAATGCGACGCTGCTATGGCCGAAGCGTCAGCGCCGGAGTCTCATTCCGACATTCCTTTCGTCGTCGTCCAAGAATCCACGCCTGTGGACTCGGAACAGTCCAACGACGAGCAAGACAGTGCCTCGGAGGCCATCACGGAGGTAGCAAGCGATGTCGAGCCGGTAGTTGTCGAAACTACTAGCTCGACAACCACTGGCTCGCCAGCTTCAGATGAGAGGCCACCCAATGAACATTGCTGCGATGCTCAGCCAGTAGTGTTGGCCGGGGAGTCGCGCCTTGGTGACGTCGAGTCTGAGTTCACGAGGGTCGACGACGTTCAGTTTGTGGAACCCGAGCTCGCGGCGTGCTGCTCCGTCGTCTCCGTGACCGACACAGAACCTGCCGTTGAAGAGTGTAGCTGCAGCATTGAAGCAGTGACGCATATCGGGGGCACCGATCCCGGCATTGAAGAGACGTCTGCACAGGAGCAAGCCCTTTCTGTAGAGCATGAACTGGTCCACGATCCTGCAGAGTGCCAAGATTTTACTAAGGAGGCGGGGACTGTAAGTGGTCGCGCATATTTATCTTGAAAAAAAAAAGTGCTGTAGCTTTATTTATTATTTATTTACTTATTTAGTCACGGAGCTCCCACAGGCTCCAGCTGGAGTATTGTGTGAGGGGGTGAGGAGTTATTCAGTGCATAATCATATTATGCACTGTAAAAGCTTTCGCAAAGGTTTCTGCCAAAGAACATTATAGTTTTTACGGTGTAGAAGAAGCTCCTTCATGTCTTCTTCAGCTCTCCAGATGAGTATGTAGCACTGTCAGATTTCCTTGTTCAGTGTAGGAAGATCTTTGTAGTATGGTCAGCCTATTATCGTAAAATAAAAGCGCCAAATGACGGACGAACACAGAGACACAAACAAGTGCCGGCTTCCAACTGGTTCGTTTTCAGAAACAGTATTTGTAGCACTGACACATCACGCCGATCAGATAATTAATACAGGTCAGACGTCCAGGTGCCTCAATTCTAGATTATCTGAGCACAAGCACAATGCTGAAAAATATAAACAAGGTTGTTCTCGCTGCGGGTGCATTCCGCTGTATGTCGGGTGGAGTGTCCTTTCTGAAAACCGGGAGCAGATCACGCGTGAAATCACAGAAATGGACTTAAACACTGAGCTCTTCTCCTTTAAAAAGAAAGAGTTTCTGCGCATGTTGTGATTATCTACTTGTATGTGTCAGTGCTATGAAATCGGCGCTTCTTAAGAAATAAACCAGTTTCGTCTGTCTTGGGGTGTCTGTGTTTTGCGCGGTTATCTTACGATCGTGAATAACCAACTAGCCCGATTCGGCGCCCTTGTCAACCTATTAGTTATGTGCGCAGGCGTCCCCTGCCTGTGAGCAAGAAGAGCGGGTCGCCGAGCCACCTCCGCTGCCGACTGTGAGACACGAGTCGCGTCACCTGAAGCAGAGCGTCGAAGACAGCATCGTTGCGCGCGAGATTCGGGCCCAGAAGGAGCGCGAGGAGATGATCGCCCGGGAACGAAAGCTCGCCCAAGAAGCGGCGAGGCTTAGCTCTGCAGCGCCCGAGAAACCATCATGCGACAGAGCGCCAGAGACGCCCAAACCTGCGCGACTCACAGCGCCTCAGCTGTCTATGGCATCGGCGACGTCACCTCCTAGCGTTGTCTCCAGTCCCGCACCGTTCCCCGCTCCCATCGAGAAGCGGTTCACGTGTCCGTCCGACTCGAAGATTGCCGACGAAATCCGGGAGCTCCAGGAGCGGGAAGAAGAGCTGCGGGAGCTCAGGGAGCGCCTGCACATCCAGGTACGGTGTTTCATAATCGAGACTAACACAAGCGCTGTCTCCGAGTGCGCTGGGTGCTATCTTCACGAACTAGCCCAGTCAAAAACCTTGCGTTTCAGTTGGCCAGCGAGTGACGCAGGCGGCAAGGGTACATCAGAACAGCATAAAACGGTAGGAAGGGGAAAGCTTAATTTGCTGTATATGAATAAGAAAAAGAAAATGAATTCGTAAACAATTGCGTGCTGATGTTTTGGCTAGTGGACTTGCCTTCTTAATTCAGGGCTATAGAACTGATTTCCTTAGCGCACGCCTGTACACGCTTCCTACACTCTCCTCCAATCAGTACGAAAGAGGGGGAGGGTGTAGCTGCAGGTGGGGGCCGTGGAGGAAAAACTTTTTCCTTCCTCCATGGTAGGGGCTTTAACTGTGGTAGCTGTGGGTGCCTGAGGGTGCCGCTGTGACGAGTTGTGTGAGTGAAGAGGGAAGAGTTATTCCGTGAATTAAAAAAAAGAACTAGGGGGAGTGGCTTCAGACATTTCGCTGAATCACAGTTGTCAAAAAGAAGCACCACTACATAATGGTTGGTTAGAAATTCCCAATAGGGGCCTAACTCTCATTGGTTTTTGTTGTGTATTAACCATATTGAATTCATTTCGGAGCCCCCTTAGACACGTTTATACCTGCTGGATGGAGTGTGTTGTACTGTTGGACTTGTACGGTATATTTCCTGTCCCCTGCGTACAGGAAGTTGGCTTGAAACATGCAAAGTTTGAAATCTCGGAACTTTTTTGCATTAAAGTGCGTGCCAATCCTTTCGGAAATTTCTTCGGCGTGTCTGCGCCATTATGTATCTTTTAATTTCAAAGCATATTAATTCTCGGAGATTTATCTCAGTCAAGTCATGCAGCCTTCAATGGGCATCGTGTCGACATTACGTTCGGGCTCAGTGTGCACTACTCCGCGGGAGCGCATGATCATGTGCACTGTAAGGTTGTACTGTATTGACATGTTTATGACTCATAAAGGGAGGGTTTGGCCGTTTCTGCGAGTGCAGGCCATCTCAACTTGCTTTCATGCTTTACGCTGTCGCGATATCACCTTTGGAAACGATAACTGCGTGTCGTCCTTGTTCGACGCCAAACTTCGAATATTTTTTTTCTGTAAAGCTTCAGTAGAAGGAGGGTGAAATTAAGTGATTCGGAGTGATGCGCGCTCATAGAGACAACCATATTTTCTCCCGATAACTTGAAAATATGCCACTATTGGTGCCACTGTACAGCCTTGCAGGGGCCACACACTTTGTGGGGCATAGCTCTTACTGTTGGCGATAATACAGGCCAAATACAGTGCACTCCTTTCCATTTCGGTCATGACGAGGCTGCTTCTCTCGCAGAGCAATGACCACCACAAGTGCAGCGAGGTTGGCAGCAGTGGCAATGAAGACGGCGTCGCTGTCAATGACGTGTCCAGCCCGGTCGCATCTGTGACCTCAAGCAGCGGACTGTCTCGGACCGTGAGTGTCGAGTCGATTCCTCCGAGCGGCTTGACTTTTTTCGGACCACGCAGAAAAGAGAAGATAACAGTACGACCCCTCTCGGATGCCACAGAAGATTCAGTGCCGTCCCCGACTTTTGTTTCGGGCGAGTCGCCGATAGAACGTGAGATACGGCTAGCACGTGACCGGGAAGAGGCCCTCAGGAAAGAGAAGGGGCTGCTGGGACAACTCCAGGCGGAAGGATTCATCAAGAAGGGTGAAGCGGCCTCTCCAATCAAGGGTGCTAAGGTCGTCCCTGCGTCCATGGGGCTTCGCGGAGTCAGCACGCAAAAGATCCTTGCCACATCCCGAATCCAGCAAGAGATCGAAGAACAGACGCAGCGCGAGATGGCTCTTCGAGAGTCCGGACACATTCAAACCATCTCACAGGAGAGGACCGACTCCAAGGTGACCAGGATAGGAAACGAAACTGTCGTCGCGTCACCTTCAACGCCGATCGCCTCTGCTACGAGGAGAGTGGCACCGTTCGAATCGTCTCTGCCTAATGTTGAGATCTTCGAGAAAACTCCAGCCCGGGTCTCTTCTCCGACGACCTCAGCCTGCGGTGTCGCCTCGGCTGTGGCCAAGGCAGCCAACGGCCACGTTCACGCCAATGGTCACGTTGTGGTAGCGAAGGCCTCGCCCGTTGCCAATGTTCGCGGGGTGAGCATGCAGAAGTTCCTTGCAAGTCGTGGCAAGGAGCTGGCCTTCACCAGTCCCCCATCACCTCAGAACGGCGACAAGCTGGAGTACCGGGAGCTGAAGCCTCCGCAGCTGCAGAAGGGCGCAGTTGATGCCGTCCGCAAGGGCCTCGTCACGGCGGAGACGAAGATCCAGGAGGAGATGCGTGCCATGAAGGAGCGCGAAGAGGAACTCAGGTTAGTTTTCTCCTTCCGAAAAGAAGGGATGGCCCAAGGAAGTACATAAATGTTTGAGCATCTTCATTTGTTGGTAGGCATTTGTTGGCAGGCATTGCGGTGTCTTGACATGCTTCTTGTGAGCGTGTTTGCACACAGTGTCATTGGTGTGCCAAGTGTAGGTCTATACGAATAAAATACTCTCCAGCCAATTATAGTCCATAGTATTGCATCAATTTCGACCATGTCCAGGCTATCAACAAGGAAAGTAGCCACACGAAAAGACAGTCCCTATAGTCTGGAAATATTATCCGCTCAACTGTAACCGAGTGTATACATGGGCACGTTAAAGAACCCCACGTGATCGAAATTTCCGGAGTCCTCCACTACGGCGTCTCTCATAATCATGTGGTGATTTTGGGACATTAAGCCCGACATATCACTGAATCGATTGTATACGTGCGCGGTGTATGGAACTAGTGGAGAAAACACTGCAGCAACAAGAACGGCGGGAAGAAGGATGGTGGATAGGGTGATACCACCAAAATAATATGTCGCTAGCTGGCCAAACAGTCACCCCTGTAGAAGGGGCCGAATATGTGCCGAAACGTCGGATCAGCTTTTAGTTTTTAAAATTTATTTTTAGAAACTCTGGACTAAAAGTGGCTGGATAGTTTATTTTATTCGTATGAATTTTTACCCAGCCAGACAGATCATTGTCGAATATGTTCCCCTTTAAAAAGCTCTCTGTTATTCCAAACTGAAAGTACACTAACTGAAGCGATTCATTTGCTGCGCTGGTACTGCCTTGCCTCCCCCTCCGCCTGCTTCATCTCTTACGCTTTATATGCGCGCACACAAGCCTTCAAAACAGAGGGGCTCCCCTTCTCGGTGCAACTGCGAGGTATTCCCCTGTTTCGCTGCATCTTTGACCAGTGCAAATGCTTTGGGAGGCTCAGCGTGGTGTGTCTTGTGTGCCCCCGCATTGTTATCTCAATAGCAGTTGTGTAGACACTCATGACGGGTTCGCGCCGTCGCGATGACAAAATGGTCCGGGTTTTTTTTTATTTCCTTGAACATCCCAAGCGATTCGCTTCAGGCACTGACTTAATTTTATAATTGTGATAACAATGGATCGACAGTCTCGGCTGGTTCTTCGCCGCCGCCACCGTCAATCACCGTAGATGTATACGTATATATGCATATATGAAAACTCAAGAAAAAAATGGCCCCGTATTTGATCTGCATGTTGCACTGCAAATGTCGTCGAAAGACAATAGTCTTGCATCTGGAGAGAGTGAACAAAACGCTTGTTTGATGTTCTGCGCAAAAACCCCAGGTGGTCGAAACTTCCGGAGCCCTCCACTACGGCGTCTCTCATAATCATATGGTGGTTTTGGGACGTTAAACCCCACATGTTATTATTATTATTATTATTATTATTATTATTATTATTATCATCATATTCTGCGCTAGAAAGTCGGTGAATGGTATTCTGGAGGCGCTGCGTCAGAGTGCCTCGAGCGGGCATCAGAGGCGATCGAGAGCATCGAGTCACGTCACACGTGAGGCATGAGCGCTATCTGGCAGTTATCTTGGAAATCGAAGCGCGCAGCGTGCACGCCAGTCTTGGAGGTGATAAGGGGTAGAACGCAAGGCGACGGGTAGGTGCCACCACCGTGCCGTTTTAGCAAAGTGTTGGAAACTCTGGCCTTTTCGTGCAAGCATTGCATGGTCAGTGCAGCGTTATAAACGCTACGGTCCTTAGAATTACCTATGTCTTTTCTAGTATAAGGTACACATTCAGATTATTGACGTGTTGTTATAGTGCCTCAGATATGTGCAATAATTGCTTTTTAATTGACAATCGCACAAGTATGAACGCTGAATCTTGAGCAATTTGGTGGGCGCTGCGGATGGGGTCGTCGGTTCGTGTTATCGTTAGGTGCCGTTCAGACATTAGAATATTGTTAAGGGTGGACAAACAGACAAATGGACAGCCAGACCAAAATTTTTCCGTTGAAGGTCCCCAAAAAAGACTGTTTTTAAAACGAGCCCTTTAATTTACATGTTGTTGCGGACCGGCGTCTCATCCGACGCTTCCCCACTGACGTGGGTTGCAGAGACGTCAGGGTTAAGTCAGATTCGGACTCCTGTGGTAGCATGGAGCAACTCCGAGTGGAGGAAATGATGCTGACAAGATGGAGAAACGAAAAATAAATAGGTTTACTGGCACTATTTACAACTATTTAGAGCATAGGAGTTTAGAGTTCCGCAAACCACGAGCGCGGTGGACGAACCATTAAACCATGGTTCAGAGCGACGTCCTGGACTTTTCAGCGTTGTTTTAAGCCCTGTTGGGCTCCTCCTTCATGATTGGAAAACCAATCACACGCATGACACCACCCACCATGGCATCAGCCAATAACACATAGTTGCCGAATAGCCATTGCATTTTATGGCGCAATGTTCTTCTGGTCAATGTTCTTTCACTGAAGAGAGAAAAAGTGTGGTCCTTCACGGAACAAGTTGGCGGATGAGTGATCCTGCCATCTTTCCCTGGAAGGGAAGCAATGGATTAGCGACTTAATCGCTTTGTCATGACCTGCGCGGTCGGTCGGCCGCGCTGTCTCTCCAAACAAGCCATCATGGAGGAAACTCCTGTAGGGGCATTGGCTCACGGACCGTCGAAGTTGCCACTTTCCTATACCTTTGTTGCTTCCCGCCGCTTGACGCTCGTTCCTAGAGAAAAGCATTGGAGTTTCAGGATGTGGGAACGCGCCTCGGCTATGCCCCTCATGGACAGCATGCTGTCCACGGACGAGAGTCACAACAATGTGTCTTCGATAGTGCAGCCCAACCTTGCCCTTCCTCACTCGGACTCACAGCTCGATCTGATTCTCAGTTTTCCGACCTATGCGCGGTCTCAGTGATATATATAAGGTAGCAATCCAACTGTATCTTGCTGACCCTGACAAGTGCTTGAACATTCTTCTTTCTGGCAGACGTCAACGCCTTCGACTTCTCGGCCAGCCCAACCTGGGTTTGTTCGAGGGAGGCACATTGGTCGACGCGGATCACGCCGTTGATGCTGGAGAGGCACCCGCCCTGCACTGCGTTGCTAGTGATGCAAGCCTTCTGGAACATGCCGCTACCGGTGGATCCCCAGAGGCCTCCAGCGTACGTGTAACCACGTTGTAATGCACTTGCTCTGAGGAAAATACGTGAACGAGTAACGAAGCAAGAGAACAGGATAGGCGGTGCTCAAACCGTTTATTCTCGCAAAAACGCGTCAAAGATATATGCGAAAAATTGAGGGATTCTTAAGCTTCGCCTTTAAGAGTTGAGTGCGATAGAGATATCCTGTCCCTAGAGCGTACTTCAATCACTTAGTGCATACTTTTTACTGTATGATGTTATTCGAGAAGTTTAAATTGTGAATTACTGCAATTTCGTCGATAAAGGTTAGTGGCTTGTGTCAGTGCAGTTATAGCACATGGCCGCAGTCTGTGTAAAGAGTAACATGCTTTAAACTACGAGCACTTATGCGCGTGAAGTGTTTTTGAACTTGCTGTGAAATCATTACGTGTCTGAAAGGGCTTTAAAAGATGAAACAGTGCTAGAACAGGATGGAGATGAGAGCACCAACTTGTATCCGACCTGTTCCTGTGCTGTTTCTTGGTTTGAAGTTGGTGTGTACCAGCCAGCCCAATTCGATACACTAATACAGTCCTAAAAGAATGCGCGCAGTAACGCCAGTGTCTTTGTAATGAGTGACTGGCTTCAAACCACGAAGCCCTTTCGATAATGACATGCTCTCACGCCAGATTTCAATGTACGCTTGTACCACGCAATATTATTGTGATAATAAACGTTTCATTGCAAAGCGTGTACATGTGCAGGATGTGTGTGTTTGCAAACCATGAAAGCTATTTCCCCCCCCCCCCCCTGCATTTTCGAGCAGAGGAATTTCTTTTCACTGTATTTGCCAGCAGATGCGTGGCTGTGTGCGAGAACACCTGCTTGTCACCCAAATCGCCTGTGCTTCAATCAGGCTTGGCAATTTTCATTATTTACCTTATTTGCATCTTTCTCGATTTCTTGGTCACGGTCAATGACGCCGTTGCCGGAAATTCTGTGAAACGAGCTCTTTAAAGGGCCCATGACACCCAGTTTTCACAAATAGGCTGGATCAATTTTAGCGAATTGGGTCGAACACTTAATTTATAATTGAATATTTTTGTAAACGCGCGAGTGGCCTAGGAGTCGGGCAACGCTGGTGCTCTTGCGAGCCGTGACGTAACAAAGAGCTATAGCTGTGCGGGGTGAACAATGTTCCTAGGTCAGTTGCGCGTGAAATCGAGATATTTCATCTTTCTTCAATTCTGCACGAAAACTGCATGATTTGGAGTGGCTGAACACGGTAGATGACGACGTCTTCGCTATTTACAGTACATGACGTCACGCGTGACTTGGCAAAGTGGCTGTCGCTGGCGGTTGGAGGAGCTTGCAGCCGGAGACTTCTAAGGTGTTTTGCCATGAAATATTCTTTTACAACCCACTTTCTTTCTCTTAATAGGCATAGCAGACCCTCTAATTCTAGTTTTCGCTGGGAAACCTCATACTGTTCAATGTCCTTGTCAAGGTCACTTTAACGATCTTGCCTTAAAACCTTGAAGATAACAGGGAAATTTGTCACAATGTGATGTTCATGAAAGCAAGTCATCTTGGGGCGGTCATGTTCTGCATATGTAATGTTACGCTGTTGTCAATAAATTTAAAAGCGGCCTCACTGAGAGAAATAGATGCCGAGCTCACTTGATTGCGTGATGTAAACGTCACAAAAGATCCGGCAGATCCCACGCACCTTGGGAGTCGGTGTAATGCGAAGCAGGCAGCGGCATACATGTAAGTCGCGGCAAAAATGCTATTCATGTAAATATTTTGACGTTATCACCTGATGTGTATCCCGGCTGCGGCGGCTGCATTTCCGATGTAGGCGGAAATATTGTAGGCCCGTGTAGTCAGATTTGGGTGCACGTTAAAGAACCCCAGGTGGTCGAAATTTCCGGAGCCCTCCACTACGACGTCTCTCATAATCATATGGTGGTTTTGGGACGTTAAACCCCATATATCAATCAATCACCTGACGTGTATGTTGGTCATACGGTCACTAAGCGTAAAAAAAATTTTGGTGTCTAGATCAGAGCACGTCTATCTCGCACCCAGGGGCACAGGCTCGCAGCGGCATGCTCTCGCATGCATGTGCCATCTTGTTTCGAACTGCCAAGGCGTGTATCTGTAGCGCCAAGTTAGCATGGTGAGCGGCACCTCTGGCTCTTTATAGGATACGGGAAAACGCCTATTCACGCTGCTCCGTCTTTCAAGATGTTGTTTGGGAACCACTGCACCATCTTTGGATGCAAAAGAAAGCGGTGCAAAAGGAAGATATTACTCGGCACTGTCTGTGAAGATCACAACACGACGCGGTAATCGTGCCTTTGCGGCGTCCTCACTTTGCAGAGATTTCTATCCGCAACGAAAAATGCCACCGCTAGTGGATAATTACAAACAACAGGAAAAACTACGAGCCCCAGTAAAACTGTGCGAGTAAGCACGCTTCGTTAATTCTAGCAGAACAACAAGCATTTCGCTATTCACAGCAATTACTTGCGTGCAGTATGCTGGTAGTGTGCGGCAAAAATCACTGCTGTACACTCTCAATTTTCGCAGACTGCGTGCCAATAATAGAATATATTACGATTCACACCGATTGCCTACGCACGCAGTGCGCACGCGTAGTACAATTGCAATGGCGTACTATCGCGATGCAGAGGAACGTGAACAGTGGAGAGCCTAGCTTTCGACTCAGTCGAACTGTCTTGAGTCGCTAGGCAAATCTGCTTTCAGCTGGCGTCACCGTAACACAATGAAATGTTGCTCCTGCTGGAACCTTCGCGCCACGTGTGTGTTTCGAATATCAGGCATGACGGTCCAATGCTAAGCACATGCGATGCATGACCGCAAGCCGGAGGAGGATTTCAGCGCTACGGTGATGCCGCCTTACAGCACTAGTTTTACCTCGTTACAGCTAAGGCATGCATGCTGCAGTTCGACTCAGTCAAAAGCAACGCTTCCTGCTATTCGCGTTTCTTTCCGTCGTGATAGTACGTACTTGATGAAGCTGCTTCCGCAGTCTGGAATGCACATGCTGTAGACATTCCCGAGTGTCGAGGAAAGCATTCTCGACGTTTTACAGGAAAACAGCAGGAACTTCTACGAGATGTAAAGCGCGAGAAATGCTTATAGCCTTACTCGGCGTAGGAAGCTTCGCATTTGATTTGCAGAGCATCTGCTCACGAGGCAGTTCAGAGTGTTGCTTCACCACTCTTGGAACAGATGGCGCCACGTGCATTCTGAATATGGTAGCACGCATTTATGCATATCAAGCGCGCAAAACGTGCATATCAGCGTGCAAAACGACCGCAAGCTCACTTTAAGTGTGGCATGTAGATGATCATGTCATTCATAGCATGCAATTAGTTTTTGTCACGTTACGATGTGACAGATATGTTCATCATACAGTAACGCTGTGCAAAAGCAATTTTAGTGTAGATCCAGTGATTGAATTGGCAGCTTGCGCAGCATGCACGTGTCATCATCCACATGACACGTTTGTCATTATTTACCTTTTACCACCTGTCGTATATGTTCGTCACACATTCATATGTCACCAACGCTAATTTTGGTGTATATCAGGTGAGCGAAATGACCACGAGCTCACCATGAGCGTGACATGTGGATGATCATGTCATGCATGGCATGTAGTTCTTTATTTTCATGTTACCACTTGCATATATAACGATGTTGCGTCATATAGTCGTCATATACTCAAATGGCGCAATACCAATTTTAGTGTAGATCGAATGAATTAAATGATTACAAGCTCACTATGTGCGTTACATGATAGTCATGGCACACATGACATGTATATCATTGTATACTTGTTGCCACATTTCATACATGTTCGTCATACAGTAATGTCCCGCAACACCACTTTGGTGTATATCAAGCGAGCGAAACTACCGCGAGCTCACCTTGAGCGTAGCATGTAAATCATGCTATGCATGGTATTCAAATCATTATTTTTTTATTACCACTAGTCATATATGAATAAATGTCATATGGTGACGGTGCACAACGCCTATTTTTTGCTGCATCATAAGCAAGCGAAATGTGCACGAGCTTCCCATTAGCGTGCACGTAAGTCATAGTGCACATGACACGCATGTCGTTATTATCACGTTACAACATGCCGTATATGTTCGTCATACAAATCACGTCGCACAATACCGATTTCGATGTATGTGAATAGGTTTCAACCGTAAGCTTGCCATGAGCGTAACATGGAAGTCATGGACATTACATGCACATCATGATTTTCATGTCACTACCTGTAATTTATGTTATTGTTACGGTCACGTTTGTTGCCTACCCTCTAAATTAAACGGCCGCGAGAATCCCGAGACCATGACATGTAAATAATACCTTACATGTGTGTCATGACTGCACCTTAAGACCTGTCATTTATGTTCGCCATACACTCTTGTCATGACATACAAATTTTGGTATATATCAAGTTATTTGAATAACTTGTCGCCTATGGAACAAATATGACCGCTGTAAATTCAGCCCACTGCCATGTATGCCATAAATATCTAACTTAACAAGACCTCTTGATTTACCATGTAATAAGCCTTGTAATAATCAACGAGTGAACAGTAAATGCTATAAGCTTGCTTTCAAATTCTGTTAAAATATATTCTTTCTGCTGAAGCAAAGCTAAATCTGTTGACCTAGTTTTTGAGAACTTAAACTGATGGGGTACGTGTTACACTGGAGCTTTCGACAAACTTACGGAACCTATGAATTGCTTTTTCAAGAAACTTTGAAAAAATGGGTAATATTGGTACTGGGTAGTAATTGCCTAATTCATTTTGTTTCCCTTTTTCGAGGAAGCACTGCCACTTTCGTTTTTTGCTTTTTATGGAAAATGTTGATGCAGTATTAAACATGTCTGCAAGGACTGTTGCGATTACAGCTGAAAAAAATTTCAAGAGCTTTAACGTAGCAGCATTAAAGAGCTCGGTTTACAGAAATTCTGGCGTTGGTGCCCACGTCGTTGGTTGTGAACGAAAATTCATCTTGTTTGTGACCGAAAAATCGAGAAAGATGTCAATAAATAAATAATAAAAAAATTTGAACCCAGGTCGTCTGCGTGGCAAGCACATGATCGACCAAATATTCACGATATTTGTTTAAACTGCTTTGAAGAAAAAAACACTATATGAATGTCCTGTTGGGGGGAAGGTGTTGCCTTAGCGTATTACATATTGCGTGGCAAAAGTGGGCCGGGCGTCAAAATATGTTGAAGCAGGTAGCGCAAATGAACCAGCTATCCGTTCTCGTAAGTGTCAAAACATGTGCAACCAGTGTGCGTTTTAAAGGCTGACCTAGCACAAATGCTTGGACACATTTCATCATCATCAGCAGCTGATGCTTCAACAAAGTGAACAGCTGCATGTATATTGGTTCGCGTGTTGGCCTACGGACACGCCGTTTGCAAGAGGAATACGTAGTTATTGTGTAGTGGGCACATAACAACTGTGCTTGCAGTGGGCGTTTCGGGGTAGTTTGAAACAGCCAGTGTCACGCACACAGTTATTCGTTTTTTTACGACGTGCACCGAGAAGCGAAGCAGGTTAGCAGCTCAGAAGGCGATGCGCGCTACGTCCAATTGCGCTATCGCATTCCGCTCTTGAAGACGAAGCTCAAGCGTCGACCAATTTTTATTGCGATTGCAATTATATGGATTTTCGATGTGTTTCTGACGTCGCCGTCACATCCCGTATGAAGTATAAATTTGTAAAATTCCATCGCATGTTCTACCCGTAGTTGATAGCGCGCAAGCGGGGGTGACGAATGCTGTTGAAGCAGAGATCAAACAAGCCGATCCACCTGCTTAGCTCCGACGGTAACATGCGCTAACTGATAACAACCCCCTATCTGTTAGATCGGCCGTCTCAAGCAGAGAGGAAATGCCCTGCTCGTGTAGTTAACGAGCATGAAAAGATGTGAGGGCGTTGGGAGGAAGAAGGATGCTCGAGCAGCTGCAGTGAACTTTGATTTTACGGGCGCGGTTACGTGCTATCTCTGTGGTCAACAGTGGCAGGTGGCTCTCTGCGCTCTCAGCGCGAAGAGACTGTATGAAAAGTGTCCCTAGAGCGGCCGTGTTTTCTTACACCAGTGTTTTGTAGAGTTGCGCGAAATCGGACCCGAAAGAGTTGGCTACCTGCCTCACTTCGTATAACATTCCAATTTATTGCTATCACAACAATAGCTTCACCAGTGTGGTGAAACTGTGACTTTTTATTTCTATTTCGTTGATATGCGTAAAAGTAAACATTACGTTTTTTTTTTTTTTTTTTTTCAGCAGGCGTCCAACAGTGTCCCCCGGCGCCGCAGTGCCCTCATCGCACAATGGGAACAGATGATCCACAGCACCGACGTCGCCAAGTCGTAAAAGAAAGAGAGATTGTCATTTACTTCAGTATGCATATATATGTATAAAGGCCGATAATCTATTTCTGCCAGCCCAGTGCGACGCACAGTACTTCAGATCGTTTTGTATTTTGCCTTAGTGAAATCTTTTCTTTCTTTTTTTTTGAATGGGTGTCTTTCAAATAATGCTGCACCTGTGCTACGAATAGTGTTTGTACACAATGAGCTGGTTTGCATTGATGATTTTGAAGAGCAGCTTACTCAAGGAATGAAGCAAGAATGAAGATGTGAAGCGTCATCGTGATTGGCAAGAAAGTGTTGTTGGTTTGACATGTTGCTATTTTCTAGTGCAAAGAAGGGAGGGCAGAAGTTAATTTTCTCGTATTGTACGATGCTAGGAGATCATACATACGAAAACCACACCTGGTTTAAACCCAGCGCGTGCTTGAAGGCCCCAGTGTAGTCGGTCTCCACTATGAATTCTGCCCACATCAAGTGGGCTCCTCTGCAAATAGTGGCCTTTGTAATTTGGCTCCGCTAGAAATGTGTGCTTACGCATTGGAAGTGGTAAAGCATCATTTAATGAGCATTTTGCTGAAATAGCTTTCCAAATCAGTTTAGGAGAAACTGCAACATTGCGATGTTGTCACATCACCGAGACGTGTTGTCCGCTGTCAACTCTTAGCCTTTGATGGCGTACACGAGCAGTTAACCTTTGTTGCATTCTCCAACTTCAAGAAGCCGACCCACGATACTTTTTTTCTCTCTTTGTATATTGCGCTTGGCGGTGAACATCCAGTGGCAGAATCGAACGCTACGCAATGATCTGGTATGCTCCAAGCAGTACGACCTGTATGGCAGATGCATGCCTGCGACTTTCACCGTTGCCACATCTTGCAGCTGTGTCATGCTTCGCAGTCGCGACTGCCACCGAGTGCAGGGGCGTAGCTTTAGATACACGTGGCATGATGTAAGCTTTATATTCTTAACATTAGGCACCGTGAGGCACACGAATGCCACCCGTGCTGATAATTTGTGTTCGCAGAAGGGTGAAAAGTGATATTAAAAATGTAACTAATACACACATACACATATATATATTTATATATCTTTGTTTTTGTGGTTAGGACAAATATATTTTGTAGAAACATACAATAAAAATGATTTCATAGTCAACCCGTTGTGTTATCGTGCCAGTTTCGTCTTTGCACTAGAAAATTGCACCGTTTTTATTCATGTGTGTTTTGATGACTGTACTTCAATAGTACAGTCACCAACCTATGGCAACTATGATTTCATAGTCAACCTATGGCTGCTAAATATTTGTTTGTTTTTTTCGACGGGCGATGGCATACTATCATGCCACGGCATTTACTTACAATATGTTGGCAGCAGTGCTCTCGCTAAGTTTTGTGAAGGGACAACGGTGGCCGTTAAATACGCGATGCCATACCACGAGAGGCTGCTTCACTTCATACATAAAATCGGTCTTGCAGCCTGTATTTAATGCACATATATGCAAAAAATATTATGCCTTAAAGGGGTCATAACACGGTAACCCACCAACCCGTGGTTTTCAGCTAAAAATTGAAGTAGATCGGCGATTGAGCCTGTGCATATGTGAAGGATGTACTGTGAAAGAATATTTCATTGCAAAATGGGCCCCACAAGCCGCCTACTGTAAACACTGCACATTGACCGCGACCGCTTTTTTTGCCATGGCGTGTGTGACGTCGTGTGCTCCATGGAGCGGAACCGTCGTATTCTGCCTAAGTTTCAGCCGCTGACAATCTCTCGAAATGAAGAAACCTGCAATAGCTCCGTTGTACACGCAGCTGACCGCGAAACAACATCGTTGTCTTGACAGATGCTCGCAAAGCGAGCGGCTCGAAACACCAGTGCTGTCAGACTCTCTGGCCGCTTGTGTGTTCATAAAAATGTTCATTATAAATTAACTGCATCACCAAATGCGCCGAATTGTCACCAGCTTGTTTGTGAACAACCAGGGATCAGCCTATGCAACAATGATTATGAGTGAAAATTGCGTTTCGTGGCCCCTTTAAGGTAAAGTCTATGAGAAAAAAAAAAAGAGTGAGGATAATGCGCACAGTTTCATCACGCATTTTACGCCTACACAAGCTGGGGAACACGTGATGTGCATCACTAAGACAAAATGCCAGTGGCTTTCAACACCACATGGAGTTTAAGTAGATGCCAGTATCTTGTACCACTTCGCTGGAGTCTATTATGAGACTGAAAACAAGAGCGCATGTCCGTGCTCTGGCCTCGTTTAGAGTGTGTCATTTTATGGGAAACTAGCAATGTACAGAGTAGTGTTCGTACCTGTTTTTAATGTACCCCCAAACATGGTGTGCATGATGGTATTTTACAGCTGAAAAGTAACAAAATTACCGTTACGTGAGATTCTTGGTGTGCATGCAATTTCTATATTGGGGAAAATGGCCAATTTCACAAGCTGCTAGCTTCTCACCCAACGACCACCATCAATATAAAAACGCAGCTGTCAATTAACACATTGCCGTCTATTCATACTGTTGCACATTCCATGTTCAGCAACCATAGCGAATAGGGTTTATGGCCTTTGTCTCAAAAACAAGTTTTTAGCTTGTAGTCTCCAGAATGCCAAACACTTTCGCTGCTGCTTCATTTCCACAAGCTTAAAGGTTCCATAACAGGGCCACTGCACAATTTGTGATTTTTTTTTGGTGATAGCTATTATTACATTACAATTATAGTTACACATTAAATAATAATAATGGAGGGTCCATTAAGCCCATGCATAAATAAAAAGTGTACAGTAAACAGGCCCTAGAAACCACTGGGTAGTAGAGCCCGCCAACCGCTCGCGACTGCTATTTTGGCATAGCGTGTGTGACGCCATCTGCTGCATCGAGCGGCGCCGTTGCCTTGTACCAAAGTTTCAGCAGCTGCAAATCGTTCGATTTCAGCACCAAACTGAAGATATCTCGATTTCACGTGCCGCTCGCACAAAAGGCTGCTTGTTACTTCACGGCTCGCGTGTGCGCCAGTGCTGTCATACTCTCGGGTCACTCGCTTGTTACTAAATATAGTCAACTGCAATACTAGGTACTCGACCAAACGCACTGAAATTTCGCACGCTTATTTGCGAACGCAGAATGGTTAACCCACAAAACAGATCATGATAAAAAAAGGATGTTATGGCATAGCCCCTTTATTGTTGTGTAGAGTAACTTCACTCAGCGAGCTTTTTCCAAGAAAGCGGAGTGCAATCGCTAAGCCAAACCAAGCGAGTTTTGTTGTCATTTTTGGTGGCAAGAGCGATGACTGTTGCTTGGAAACTATAAGCTGCTGACAAGGATATATATTGTGCCTTATCCAACTGTCCCACAAAAGCATACTTTTTCGGGCTTATAGGAAAAAGCGTACACCTTAGAATAGTGTGAAAAGGGTACTCGTGACAACTTCACTCAGTACAATTAGTGTGTGTAGATTACAGTAGCGCACTTTGAGTTGTGGTTACTCTGATAGCACACAGTAAAAATAGTGGCTATGACAAATATCGTACGTCATTATGTATGTCTAACCGACTTATGGGATGTGATGCCTGGCACATCTACAATGTATTTCTTTCGTGCGCTATGGTACTGTGAGTGAACGTTGCTATACCCGTAGTGCGCAGTGTTGGCACAACGCCTCCTTTATTTCTTTCAATGCCAATGCGAACCCGCGCTTATCAACGGGAGCCCTCGGTCAACCTTAGTTCAGAGAGTGGTCGTGATGCGACGCTGCATGAGGGGTCACGCTGCTTGCGTCACATGTGCTTCCGAGCGCTTTCCCCCAAGAGGTGCGATATACGTGTTTCCCACTACAGTATCGTATGTCAGTCATATCTGTCCCTTCGTGCTCCTTTTTTTGTGGCTCGAAGCAACACCGCCACTGCATCATGGCGCAGCGCATCTAGTACCGTTGCAGTGACGCTTCCCCATTGGTTGCCTGCATAGCGCCACGAACGGCGATGCGCTATCTCAAAACACCGTATCTTTTACAGAGCCAGCGTGGCCGCCAGCATAGTGAACACAAGGAATGGAAGACGCCGCCCCACGGATCTGTACACAACTGAACAAAAATTATGATTTCCATCGTGAGACACTGCATGAGGGGGCTTCCTCCCCCATGACAGCAAAGCACACGCGAAGGGTAGGCGATGGGCGAGAGCAGGGAAGGGGCTAGAGGAGAGGATGGTGAACGGCTAGATCGGGTGCATCTGGCTGGCATTGATAAAATAGAGGAGGCGTTGGTTGGCAAATGCTGCTCTTGTAATTGAAGCCAGCCTAATGCACTTGTTTTTTTAATGACACTTTCAGAGCGGTATAATCGCTTTCCTTGTTTCGTGTCTGTTTTTGAAGTACTGCCATAGCTACTTACATAAGTGCAAGATGCGTGGGGAATCGCCTCCATAACGAGCTCGCACGACTTTAATTTATTCTTTTATTTTTGGCTGAGGGGATAGTTGTGCAGGTGTGTGGAGCCCTGAAAAAGTTCTTATTACGAACCATTGTTTTCCTGCAAGCCTCTGTGTTGCATTCCACACTTCTGTACTTAGATGCCATTGCTGCTAAAGTAACAGAAGTGCACTATTAATAAACGTATTTGGAATGCCACAGGGACAGTCGCACTAACGAGAAATTAAAGTCATGCCCGTTTCATAGCCGTGCTTGCAGTTATGCATAAATGCATAAATTTGCGTCCGCCAGCCAAAGCACGGCGTTCACAATTGCACACGTAGCCACCTGAGTGTTTTTGGAGACAAATTGTGTGAGTGAGAACGTATGCACGAATAACTCATAGTCGAATTCGTGTGTACGAACTGGACATGGTTGCCTGTGTGAAATGTGAACTGGTAAAAGGTAGTCCCTTCATTTGGTGATTTATTGGCAAAACATGTGCACACGTCTCAATTGACGGTGCAGTGATGTGAAAAAATAACAGTAGGGTGTGTTGAGCTTTAAAAAATTGTGACTCAGATGTATAGGAGGTAGCTTCCACGAAGGCACAGTTGACATGAAGCAGCTGTAACGTCTAGTAACTATTTGGCCAGCATTGTCGACGACCATGTCGGTGGTTCTGCGACGATGAATCCTGCTACAGCTTTTAAAATTTTACGATGATAATCTGTGTCCTAACCATTCCCTCTTAACGATGCTAATAACATTCTGTACAAATAGTACTGGCCAACGGTACTAAGATGATCGCCAATCACTTCTCCCCAGAGTCGCCAATCACCGGCCATGTTGTAATGTGTTGTTCACGGTTCCACTTTATTGCAATGTGTTGCTCATGCCTCCTAAAGCAAAACCAGGATTGTCGCATCATTTCTGTTGCTAATATGTTTCTATTTACTTTATTTACGAGTGTTTCCAACTTAACTTGGGAAGTGAAACTCACAAGAGGAACAGTGTCATTTCCCACTCATAATTGTATTGTAAATGTATGTAATAGTGGACAGCTAGCCTTGAATGAATATGTTTTAATTTGTGTTCATAAAACGGATCTTTCTTGTGTCATGCACCATAGATTTTTTGCTTAAAGGGACCCTGTAATACTTTTATAAGTAGCCATGAAAGGAGTTTAGTAAAGGAGCTTATTGTGTCACCTATTGACCGCTGCAAGAAAATTTTAGAATCCGACCATAGGTGCGCAGTTGCACAGATGTTTCGCACGATGCAACTGCTTTCTCTCTTCTATGGTTCCAACAGAAGCGCTGGCAGCTAAGCACGTAGAAATGGCGCGTAGAAGAGGGTACGTCACGCGTGCCTCGTGACCTCGAGCCCTTTCTTTGTTGTTGTTGTTTTTTTTCTTCGAACGCGCCGATTTCAATGCGATCGCGCGTTCGATCTTGGCACGTCGCGATCTCCCGCGACGACACTCCCCAGCCCGCCATACTCGTATCAGCCAACGGCGTGATAATCGCACCTATGACGCTATGATTTTTTAGCATATATAGCAAAATTTGTCGAGCGAAAAAGAGCGATTTTAATAATAATTGTTGGGGATTCAACGACCCAAAACCACCATAAAATTATGAGATACGCTGTAGTCGAGAACTCCGGATATTTCTACCTACTGGTGTTTTTTTAACGTGCACCTGAATCTAGGCACAGGAGCCTCAATCATTTTTGCCTCCATTGAAAATGCGGCCGCCGTGGCTCGGATTTGAATCCGTGACCTGCGGGTCAGCAGCCGAGTGCCTTAGCCACAGTGGCGGGTGAGAAATCGATCTTAAGATGACTTTGATAATTAACTGTAAATTCTAAGCCGAGCGCAGCGCTGTAATATTTGGCTCGCATGTTCTCAAGAAGAGTCCCTGCAGTGTTTTCTGACCATGCTCAAAAAGCGTTGCATGGCCGCCTCTCCCATCCCGTGCAGATCCTGTTGCAGTGTTCCTTCTGTGTTGTTAGCGGTGATTGTAAGTTCTGGATTTTATGTGGAGCCTTGCATGCAGCTGGATTTACTTGATATTTCGTCGATGGTACAGAATTTGTCAATTGTGAGAGAGAAGACTTTTCCTTAACTTTTTGCTTATGTACGAGGGCACTTTACTAACCGTGCGCCGCCAATTTTAGCGAGTCGTGTATTTTTGTAAACTTAATAAAGGACTACACCGGATACTTTCATTGTCTGTTTGCACTGACTCGCATTTTTACCGAAGCTGCAAAAGCTTTCTAGCAACCATTGTCACGTCTGTCTCCTTCATTGTCATTGGCCTGATTAAGCCCATTAAGGCCTGTTCCATGTTCCTCTGGTCAACTTATTCCTGTGCCTGTTTCTGCCACGTCATACCTGCAAACGTCTGAATTAATCTCATCTGCCCACCTAACCTTTTGTCGCCCTCCCAAGTGTTTGCCTTCTCTTGGAATTCTGTCACTTACCCTTGATGACCAACGGTGATCCCGCCTAGGCACTATGGGCCCGGCCCACGTACATTTCTTCTTATTCCGATTTCAACTATGATATAAATTAATATCAACACCCGTTTGTTCCCTGACCCACTGCGCTCTCTTAAAGGGTCACTATATAGACGTATTAGTGAAGCACCATTTCACATTCCTGAAAATGCCAGTCCCATCGCGACACGACACTTCGTAGGCGAGAAAACGTGCAAAAAGAAACTCGGGGTGTAGACGCCACCTTGAGATTCCCGCACCACAGTGACGTCATCAATTTTTGAAGGCGTTTACTGGGTCCTACGTAGCTTTTAATCGATAAAATTGATGTACATTGTAATCTATGGGTGACATAGACTTAGCATACGAAGTCTGAGAAAATTTCATCTAGCCAATGTTGCCAAAACACGAAAAATACATTGTGTATGTTTTACGTCACGCGTGGAGCTTACGGCGCAAAATTTAAAAATAAACTTGAAACTTCATTTTCTCCGCCAATAAGGAACTTATGACAGTGAAACTTATGGCGTTTAAGTTGGGCCCTTTTTGTAAGCCCCCAGCTCTCCGTAGGTAAGTACCGGTAAGATGCACCTCTTATATGCCGTCCCCTCAGGGGATTATGGCTAACTAATATTCATAGCGGTCTTGTAGTTTGATAGTGCCATGTGAACATCATTCGATAACTCTAGCCGAACGTAAATTCTGATCTGCTCTTCATTGTAACCCCACTTCATGTTAAATATAATAAAAGAACTACAAGAGGGACAATCCACCCTGACTTTCTTTGGTTAATCATCTGACCCCTTTTGGAAGGCAGAAGCAGAAAATAAAAATGTTGACATTTCTGTGAGCGTCACAAATTACAATTCGCTCTCTACGAATGTGTAATTAACATATTTTCATGGCACTCAGTATCACATTCCAAGAAAATAAGTAATGCGTTGTTTTCCGCGAGTTTCGGTAACTAAATGAGATCGGCATGTAATTAAATATTTGGTTATTCTGCAGTCGATCACGTTCTATTTTGACATGAAAAGAATGTATTCATGGGCTCCGAAGGTGGGCAATTGTTTTTTGGTTCCAATCATTTTGAGTAAAGAAAAGTGGTTATTTTGACTTGTCTCCTGTAGCGCGGCGCATCGGACGACCCGTTGAATATCGCAGTAGGCTTCACCAGGCTTATAGGTTGCAGTGAGACACTGAAAAATCGCACTGAAAAAGCACACTGAAAAATCGAGTCAGGACTATGCATGCAATATGTATTTCTCTCGTTTAGTCAGAAGTAGCATAAACAAGTTGCGTACGCACACGTAGCCACCGAGACCTTGCCGTTCACGCCGTGTACATATCGTGTGGCTGGCGTGCGCATCTGCGGTTGTGTGCAGAACATTTTACTGTTTCGGCTACGTCACAGGAAATGGCTTTCAGAAGTTCCTGTGCGCTTTATCGAGGTGCCTGCGTGAGAAATTCTGTGCTGTGCCCAGCTTCAACAATGAAAATTGCTATCATTTGTCAACACAAAGATAAGCCTCACTATATTTATTTGTCAGGCATTATATTAAAATGAATTTCTTCGAAATCCCATCAACCTTCGAGAAATAGAAAAAATAAAATATTTCCAAAAGCCGTTAGCTTACTTATATTGGTCAGATATTCGATCAAGATGAACTTCTTCGAAATTTGAACAACCCTTGAAAAACAAAAGAATGGATGATTTCCAAGTGCCAGATTTCTGGCTATATTGGCCAGAAAACCGGTGCAATAACCCTTTGCACATTCGTCAACGGCAAGAATGTCAAATGTCATTGCTTGCCATACTGTTAAAAGCTCCGATCAAATCTTTGGAATGTGACGATCCTTTAAGTTACTGCGAAAAGCAAGATTTAGGCTTGCTGTTTGGATTAGAAATTGCAGCGAAACATGGCTGATCTGTCCGTCATAGCAATCGGTGTAACAGTAAAGTAAAACGCCTCCTTATAAATGTAGTTCAATGTTTACTGTGCATTCATACGACAGCATGCGCATGGCTATTGATGTTTGACTGCTCCGTTTAACGTAAACGCATCACGCTTCGTGCACATCTTCATCCCGATAACTCACGTCCGTGATTAATGATTGGTTAATGATTAAACAGGCCCTCTCGGCCACGGACGCCCGTGATAGCTGTAGTGGTCAACGATGAGAGAAGCGGTGTGACAGCCAGAAGAGCGTGACTGATTGTATATACGCGAAACTTGGGCTAAGTTCGCCTACTCCCGACGTGTTAAATTCATAAATTTATTTATTCAAAAATACCCTACAGGCCCAACATGGTATGGTGTAAGAGGAACATCAAAATAAGATATACATGAATTTGCACAACTTGCATACAAACAATAACATAAAAAATGTCAATGATTATGCAATGCCCAACAGCGACAACGATAAAAAAGAAAAATAATTAGTACTACTAATAATACCAGGGCAATGAAAAACAGATGACTACAAATGTGAGATATTGATGTAAAACAATTCATAAAAAGAATTAAGCACAATTTGTGACAAAGACTCTGTTATTCAAAACAAAACATTGCTCAAGATTACACACAGAATTGAATGTCATGCTAGCATTCAAACTTTTTTTTTAAATTCTTAAAACGAGGAAAAGAAATGAAAGAAGAAAAGAAAATAACCCAAGGAACTAGCAATCATGAAAAGCGTAAGTGCAGAACTTGGTATGAATAAACCTAGCAGTTAATCCTGGAAATGGGTGATTAGAAGGTGCCGTAATTTTCCTCAATTGCATTCAGCTACGATGTCATCTGGAGGGCCGTTACACTTGCGGATGACGCGTGGGAGGGCAGACAAGATAAAAATGTATGTTTTGGCGTAGATGCGCGTCAATGAAAGATGATTATGTAGTCTCTTTGATGTGAATGCAGGTGTTTGAAATTCGTGCACGTATTTATGAAATAATGAAGGAAGGGTTATATCACGATGGCTGCTCAAAGAGAAAAGCGATCAGTTCTTTTTAATTCGCGTTATGCTTGCGGTGTGATCGTAGTTTCTGGAGATGAATTTGGCGGCTCTATTTCGGATCTACTCCAGCATGTTAGTTGAATAAGTGTAAGGAGAGGAGCAAACTGCAGAAACGAATTCTAGCTGAGGGCGAACAAATGTCATGTATGCTAAGGCACATGTTTGTATTTGTGGGTGTCTTGCGGAGATTACGGCGTATAAGTAGTCTAATGATCGTGAGGTGTTGCTGCAGATGTTGGTGATGTCACGTGGACAGTCCAGGAAAGGATAGGTGTTTAGGTTACACCTTAATATTTACGAGTTAACGCTAGATATGTGGTTGATATTAATAAAGCATAAAAACTCTTTAGCAGTGGCTTTTTTTTTTTCTTTTTTCTGTTCTTTTTCATTCGCCCCGGCTGACGCGGTTCTAATATAAGCGCCCGCCCCGGCAGACGCGGTTTTCAGTTAGAATGTTTACAAGAGAAGGACATTTACATATACTTCCATTAAGGGACATAAGCCAGCAATCACACCAATTGCCAATGAGGTCGAGGTCGTTTTGAATTATTATGTGATCACTAATGCTAGTTATTGCTCGTTAAATTATACAATCGTCAGTGAAAATGTGCAGCTGTGAAGATAATTGATTGATTCATATGTGGGGTTTAACGTCCCAAAACCACTATATGATTATGAGAGACGCCGTAGTGGAGGGCTCCGGAAATTTCGACAACCTGGGGTTCTTTAACGTGCACCCAAATCTGAGCACACGGGCCTACAACATTTCCGCCTCCATCGGAAATGCAGCCGCCGCAGCCGGGATTCGAACCCGTGCCCTGCGGGTCAGCAGCCGAGTACCTTAGCCACTAGCAGCCGTGAAGATAAATTACTCAATAAGTCGCTAATATAAATAAGAAAAAGTGGCCGACCGAGAACACTACCTTGCGGCACACCAGAAAAAAAAAAAAACATATGAAAGTGGGGAGGAAAAATCATTAACAATGGTCAATTGCTGCCAGTTAGTAAGAAAGTTCCGTATCCTTGACTGAGTTAAAGAATCTAGACACAAGGAAAGTAGTTTAGAGATTAGTTGACAGTGAGCAACGTGATCAAAGGCTTTCGAGAAATCCAGATAAATACTGTCAATCTACAGGCTTAGATCTGAGTTATGATGCGGTCAGTTGTGAATTAAAAAAAAAAAAAAGCTGTGTTTCCCATGATAGGGCTTTTCTAAATATATGTTGGTTTGCAAAGAAAAAATTGCTCTAAGTGATTGTAAATATGGGAGGCGATTATATGCTCGAGCATCTTACAGCAGGTGGATGTTAGAGAAATGGGCCTGTAATTTTGAGGTAATTCTTTATTGCCGCTTTTAAACAAGGGGATGACCTTCGCGATTTTCCTGTCATGTGGAAGCTGTCCTGTTTATATATCGATTGCTGAATGACGTGACAGCATTATACTCGAGAGTGAGGTCATACTGTTTAGTACTTCGGTCGTCAACGCCTGCTAACGTGGACAGTTTAAGATTGTTTATTATAGATGCGACTCCGTCAACAGTGATGTCAATGGGCTGCAAAAAGGGATGGTCAAGATCGGCTACATCGGGGACATTTGTATGATAATCAATGGTGTGTAAAGAAAGTAATGAAAGCATTAGGACAGTCTTGGTCTGGAACGCCAATGTGGTCGTCATTGTGCAACGTGATGTTATCGTGACGTTCTGGGCACTCTTGTTTCCAAAAGTTCTTTATAAGAAACTTATATGAAACTGTGACGTTCAAGGGCCACGTGACTCGTGGTACTCTGCCCCCTCCACTTTTCAGGCGAGAGCACTGCAAACTGCTCTTGGCTGCTCTCGGCACAGCAAAAGCACTCTCGCTCTACCAATGGATGACAGTGCTCCTGCACCTATTCGACCACTGAAACACGGCGGCTCTGAAGAGAGCACTTTCAGCGTGCTTTTCAGTGCTCCTGCTCTCTCGATCGAATTCGCCACAATTAAGTACAGTCATCTCACATCTTTTCAACGTGTCTTCATCATGTACAAGCGTCGCCATCCAGCGGACATTCTTAATGGCCACTTTTTCGGGTATGTGCCACTGGTGGTTACGCACTATAACGTGGCAGCAGAAAGCACAAGACCGGGTTGATTGGCGGATCATGAGGCCATTCCTTCCTCCATGGGAGAGGCATTTGCCCTGCAGTGGGCGTAGTCAGGCTGAAACTCGAATGCCGCAACACAGTGATAGCAACGTTTGTTCAGCGATGTCGGTGTTCAGTTATATACATATATTAGTTAGGTTTCAAGAGTATTTACACAAAAATTGAAAGTACACCCATTCCAGTACACTGTAGTTGAAAGGTTTCGATTATGCGTGAGTTACTAGTTTTGAACACTCGTAATAAGCGATACAAACCTTGCTTGATTGACGTTGTTTTAGCTAGTCAAGGCCAGTTTGGTCACCTGGCGATAATTAGACACGCCAACCGCGATTCAGCAACGGTAAAGAAAAAAAAAAACGGAGTACCCCAGAGATTGAGCAATTTAGCGACATAAACGTCTGCGGATTCATCTGCGAATTCCTGTGTCGCACAGTCCTTGCACTAGGAGATCACTTTGCTGAGTCTTTGGTAAGCTCTCTTTCCAAACCACGCTTGAATTTAGCATTTCATTATTAGACTGCATTAATTTAACCTATCATGCATTATGACTAATTCTCAGTCATTCAAAACATTTTAAAATTTATTTACTTTTCTTATGTGTCAAAATGACCATATTCTGTTAAAAAAAACTAAGCAACCACTTTTTCTTTTTGTTTTGGCCAATCCCCCTTCCTCGGTAAGAGTCACAACAGAGGAACAAGCAAGCAGGCAAGTGCAAGGCTGTAGTTATGGTAGAGAGGCTAGCTCTCTAGTTATGGTAGAGAGTTCCCCAATTTGGTGAGAATTCCTATGAGTACATTCTAGTACGCTGTACCTATGAGTTATAGTGCAGTAGGCTACACCAGTTTTTTCTAGGAGGCGTTGGCTACACAACCAGCAGTAAAAAAATGCGAGCGACGGTCGAATAATGATGGTAGGCGCTATCACGGCCGCTGGATGAAAAAATTGGCCCCGTATCTACATGTTACACTGCAAACGTCGTCGAAAGACGATATAGTCTTGCGTCTGGAGAGAGCGATCAAAGCGTTTATTTGATGTTCCGCGCAATAAAATCGGTGAATGGTATTCTGGAAGCGCTGCGTTAGAGTGCCTCGAGCGTGCAGCGGAGGCGACCGAGCGCATCAAGTCACGTCGCACGTGAGACATGAGCGCTATTTGGCAGTTATCCTGGAAAACGGGGCGCGTGGCGTGCGCGCCAGTCTCTGAGGTGCTAAGGTGTAGAATGCAAGGCGACGGGTAGGTGCCGCCACCGTGTCGTCTTAGCAAAGCGTTTGAAACACTGGCCTTTTCGTGCAAGCATTGCATTACAGTGTCTAGAAATATACATTTTAATTGCATGGTCAGTGCAGCGCGATAAACGCTACGCTCCTTAGAATTACATATGTATGCCTTTTCTAGTAAGAATACCCATAAATAATATTGACGTGTTGTTATGGTGCCTTAGATATGCGCAATATTTGCTTTTTAATTGACAATCACACAAGTATAAACGCTGAACCTTGAGCAATATTGGTTGGCACTGCGGATGGGGGTCGGCCGCTTGGAGTATTGTTTGGTCACTTTGGTGCCGTTTAGGGTACCGTTAAGGGTGAACAGACAAATGTACAGACAGACAGACCAAAATTTTTGCGTCGATGGTCTCCAAGAAAGAGTAGGTCCGTTCGATTCGCCTGCACCACGTGAACCAGTTCACGAGGTTCTGCACCTTGCCATTCGTTTCAGCGGTGCAGCAATGACGACCGCTGAACCCTGCCATTCGTTTCGAAAGGTGCAGGATAGGTGCAGCACCGGTTCATGATTTTCCTGCACCTCCTTTGCTGACGGTGCCGGCTTGGTGCAGGCGCGCGTGCAGCTGAGCAGACGACGCAGCACTTAGACGTAGGTGGCTTAGGCGCCGTACCCGCCTATACAAACGCGGTGGGTTTTGCCAAGATGTTTGCGCCTCATAAACTGTCCGCATGTTCGATTTGCCATCGGTCAGTGTTTGCTGAACGGTGTAAATTAAGCGAGAAGAAATAAGGCCTGCACCTTGTCGGCACATCGTCATTCGTTTCGGGTGTCGTGCTGTGCCTGCACCGCTGAACTCACGCTGCACAATTTCTGAACTTCGCGTGCACAGCCGTGAATTGGTTCCGACCGGTGCAGGTGAATCGAACGGACCTAGTATCGTCTTTAAAAGCACCCGTGCGCTCTTTTATCCAGTGGCCGTGTAACATTCATGGATTGGATCAATCCTTCCTCCATGGTGGTAGCATTAGCAGCATGTTAGCAGCGCCATCTCGCCTCACGGTATTGAATATTGCAGTTCAGTACGCCGCCGCTACACTCCGCTACCCTCTGCAGTCATCACGCTCGTCTTCGTTTTACGTGACACAGGTGTTTGAGTTGTTGTTTGCGCCGTCTTATTGGTAATCGACAACGATGTCCGACTACGACTTGGTGACAAAAGCTCCACTAAAGCTGAAGAGTTCCTCTGGGATTAAAAAGTAAGCCGTCTGGTCGCGTCAGTTTGTAGCGCAATCACACCTGGGCTGGACTAGGTGGCGTTTGTTTTGAAGCGAGTTGTCCTAGACCACTGCCTAGACATGCCAGAAATCGTAGCTAAAACTGTTCAAACTTTCTTAGCTGATTTGATATCGGCTGTGTCACGAAAGTTGTCATGTGAAGCTGACGGACGAGTGCTCAAAGAAGTGCTAAAACTGACGAGCACACACACACACACACACACACACACACACAAAAAAGAGCAGACGCAGTACAGGTGCTGGCTGCTCTTTTCATTTTGTGTGTGTGTGTGTGTGTGTGTGTGTGTGTGTGTGTGTGTGTGTGTGTGTGTGTGTGTGTGTGTGTGTGTGTGTGTGTGTGTGTGTGTGTGTGTGTGTGTGCGTGCGTGCGTGCGTGCTCGTCAGTTTTAGCGCTTCTTTCAATGTTTATTGATAGCCAACTAGCCCAGCAGTATGTGCTGTTGAAGCTGACCGAACTCGTTTACGGTGGTGCCCGTGAATTGCAGTCAAAATTATTCCTTTAAAGGAACTAGTACTGACACAAGATGATTTTGGGGATAGAATTCACTGGACACGCATCGTTTGCGAAAGGTCAACAAATAATACTGTCTGTAACATATTTAAAATCAATCTTGAAGTGCGCGTCGCGTCACCGCGCGAGAAACGCGCCTCTGGTTTTCGTGGAAACGGTGAACCGCCACCTGTGTCACGAGTTTTTGTTGGCCGCCGTGATCCTTGCGAGTGCTCTATCCTAGCAGACCTGTTCAGCGAGAAGAAGGGGCAAGCTTTTGCTGGAGTGCGAAGGCTGATGTCCGTGTTTCGACAGTTCATTCTTTGGGGGTCAGACAAATTTACGTTTCGGGTGAAGTACCTAGATTTTTCCCTTTTATTTAAGTACCGACGACAGTCTTCTCTCCTTGCCCTCTCTCACGCGCAGCTGGCGTTTGCCACCATATTCTTCATAACTTGCAAGATTGAAAAATTCACATACGTTTAATTCGGCCGCATCTTTCAGTAGGCAATATGCTGAGACTATGGGTCTTTCTCCTCCTGTCAGTCCCCCATCGTTAACAAGCAGGGGATGCGTTTCATCAGGTGCTGGAAAGGTGCACCAGGTGTAAATGACCGTTAGCCAATTAGATTCGTCAGTGGCTTCAATGTCAATACTCAAGAGTAAAGAGCTGGCAACGCGGTGCTCATGTAGCGAGCTAAGTTTACGCGAAAAATACTGCGGATCCCAATTCACTTCGCGCACTCTGAAGCTGAAACTGTTACTGGGTGGTGTAAAACTTATTACAAATGATTAACCATTGCACACTTTCCAGCCATGATAAATGCGTCATTAGCTACTTATTGCAATGGGAAACATGCAGCATGTAAAGGTGGCACAACAATCCACTGCACTAATGCACAGCCAGTCCCGCATGTGGTGAGTTCCGGCGACTTCAGTTTCAACTGACAAGCTACGAATCGTCTCCTTTCCATCAGCTACTCCCACTTTGTATGCAAGTGTGTGTGCACGAAGGAGACAGATTATATAGGCTTTAAGAAAGGTGATTCTTTTCAGAAAGCAAGTTTTTACAGAGACCTCAAGCGTAGAGAAAGCATTCAAACTTGTGGATTCAGTAATATTTTCGATGGGACAAAGCATGAACGTGCAACAGATTGTTTTGAAAGGGCAATTCATGAGGCTGTCCAGCGTAGAGCTCAAAGCATAGGCTGTCAGCATCAATGTTTGCGTGCATCCTTTCTTGTCATTTTGCCTGTTTTTCACTAAGTAAACAATGGCATTAGTGTCTGACATATGTTACGCAACCTCTTGCGATGCGGGAAAGTAACCCGTGTGCTCAGATTTGAGTGCACGTTAAAGAACCCCAGGTGGTCGAAATTTCCGGAGCCCTCCACTACGGCGTCTCTCATAATCATATGGTGGTTTTAGGACGTTAAACCCCACATATCAATCAATGCAGACAAGTAAAATGAACGGTTGACGAACTGCACGTGTTGCATATTTAATAATGCATAGCAGTGCCACATGTTTTCTGGGCTGTAACTGAGCTCCATATGTAGGCATTTCTAGGGCTGAACGAGTCCTGAGTAACTTTTGTCACGTGCCAGCTTTCCACATATCTCTGCTGTCACGTAATGCAATAAAACTGTGGGGTGCAGTTTCGCTTGTATGCACAGTGCCATTATAGGCAATAGTAGCACAAGGAGAATACATTTTAAAATTTTCATTGTCCATGACACATTTTTCCTGGCATGAAGAGCTTCTTCCTTATTGTTACAGTTTAAAAACAGCGCCAGTGTACGAGGGAGAATTTCTACAGATCTGTCAATGGCTTTCCGCCAACAATTTGTTGGCTGCAGTCTCGAGATCTAGTTGCCAGCTCCCACTTGGTTCCTTCAGCGCTCTAAAAATATCGGTTAACTTGTGTGGAGTCTAAATTCACTGCGAGCTAGCTATAGCATCTACTTCATTAGCGTAACTGTGGGATCCCTTGCTTTACACTGCGTACACTAATCCAGTGCTCCCGCCAGTTTCTGGAGCATGGTCACGGTGAAAAACTGCAAAACTTCATTCCAGGTTTTATAGTTATCAGCACAGTTTATGACACTGCAATTCATGCGTGACACTTCGAAGAACTGCGAACAACCTGACGAAGCTTCGCTCATGGGTGGGATGCTAAACAGAGATGCCAGTTTCTTTAGTTCACTCCCGCACCAAGGTACCACAGGATCAGTGCACGTGTCCTATACAAAAAAGCAATATGCTAAACTTTTGTGTCAGTGCTCCTTTAAAGGAGCACCGACACAAAATTTCGTGGCCAAGATATTTAGCGAAATAGATTTATGTGGACACATACACAACATCTACGCAATATTAAGGACAAACATAGCCTAGAACATATTTAAAATCAATATTGAAGTGCATACCACACGACTGAGTCAGATGCAGAGCCCCTCGCGATGCCGACATCAACGTGGTGGCAATGTGAACAAATCTATGTCACGAGTTTGCTTTGGCTGGTTGCTGGCACGTGCCTTGTGCTTTCACTGCCGGCAGTTTCTTCCTCCGTGCGTGCAGTTTTGTGTGTGCTGGCTGTCAGTGCAGCTCCACCCCGTAGTTTTGCGCAGTTGCATGGCCAGCTGAGTTAACCTTGAAACCAGAACTGCTTTTGCCTAGCTCAGTGCTCTTAAAAAACCGAAACTGTGACTGGGTGCCCTAATGATGTCTCTAAATAAATAGCCATGGTGCGCTTGTGCAAATGAGCTTTCTCCCAAATGGGTCGTTAGCTAACAGATGAGTTGATCGTTAGCTACTTATTGCTAAAGAAAAAAAACATGCAACATTTTTGTGTCAATGGTCATTTAATGCCTCACGTTGCCTCTTTCAGAAAAAAGAAAAAGGACAAGGATCTCAAGAAGGCTTTGGAACACACAAGCGTGACTTCACCAGAAGGACAAGGAAAGAAACCGGTCGTCAAAGAAGTACACCGGACCAATGCGGAGAAGGCATTCCTAAAGATGCAGGAGAAACGGGTAACGCAGTTGTTGTTCTTGGTGCATGGCACCATATCATACCAACAATGGTTCGCTTTGTTTTTTTTTTTTTTGTTATTGTGTTCTTTGTTTTTGCATTAAACCATTTGAGCGGTTTCGATGGCCAAAGTGATGGTTGGATCCATGGAAATAAACAAGGATTAAGACGAGAATCATTGGCACTGTGCATGCTCATATGTGGCGCATTTGCAACTGCAGATATCGCTTGTGCAGTTCCTCACATGACACTCCATCATTCTAGACACTGTACCTATATTGTGAGCAGCGATGTTTTAACGCGAATTGTATTGTGCCCTGCAGTGACCGTGCATGCTTGGTTTTCGGTTTACATTATGGACAAGGCTTCATCGGGGGCGTGTGTGACATGCACGCAAATGAATGGCGGTTCCTAATCATAATGCGGCTGTATCCTGCGCTCCCCGCCTCCGATTTATCACAGCGGCCAGTGCCTTTGGGAGGCCTCGCAAGCCAGTGGCCGCCTTTTCAAAGTCGTTGTTCCATTTGTCGGCGTGCGTTCTCTTGCCTTGCTCATGCAGAGAAAGCACCACTCATTCACGCTCACATCACAGAGCTCCAAAGGTACTGCTCATTGCTGTGAAGGAATGTATAGAAAACAATGGGGAAATACTATTTCAATATAAAGCAGGGATTGCTGTTCAGAAATGTGTCTTCTTTAGAGCTACTGTATTTACTCGCATAATCCTCGCACTTTTTTTGCCAAAAAACCGATGCAAATTTGGGGGGTGCGTGAATTACGCAGGGAAAACTTTCCACGAAAACGCAGAAAGCGAAAAAGAAAACGAAGTGGCCGCAAATCGGGATTCTCACGCCAGCAACTTACAGCAAGTTTTAAGAAGTACTAATTAGAGCTTACCTCAACAATAGAAGCAGAGGTTCAACACAAGGCAAGATTTATTTGAGACACAAAAAGTGGAAGCAAACAGCCGAGAATTAGAATACCATACGCGAAGCTTGTCGGCGTTGCGGGCATAGCGGTAACGGTCGGCGCTCAACAGGAGCCCTCAAAAGGTAAGCGTAGGATGTCAGTATTAGGCTGATGGCTATTTGTGATGGTTCAGCGAACTTGGAGCGCGGGGGTAAACGCAGACACAAAGCAAAAAAGAGGCACACAGCCCAAGCGCTCAACTAACGACTGGTTTATTCTCACGTTTGAAGGACATACAAGTACACAAGGGTGCGCATGTCAACAAAAATAGCAAGCGTGGTGTTCATTCAATGCACTTGTCTATGAATTATCAATATAGTTAAACTCACAGTCAAGTAGTGATAATGACGGATGGCTAATACAATGATTCTTATTTCTAAAAATGTGATAATATGCTTAGGAAATTTCACGCGTGGTTTGAAGCGGATGCCGGAAAAGTACACTTGTTTTTTCAAACAACGGTTGACACTTGCAGGAATTGCAATGTGAAGCTAAAACGGAAAAAGAAGTATTTTTCAAGGAACTCAAATGCTCCCTGAGGTGTATGTTCAAATATTGCCCGGTCTGGCCGATGTACATGCGACCGCATATTAGCGGTATGCTATACACCACTTTTAAAAAACACTCAACAAAATGTTTTGCATGTTTCTGCAAACATCCTCTGCTTTTTGACGTGCCCTGTGCCCTCCTGTGCACCATGGCGCATATACGGCCTAATTTATTGGGTACAGAAAAAAACGCGCACACCAAACCTGCTACCCACACTTTTCAGTCCAAGCACCAATTTATGAATGTAAGGGATGACGGCCACGCGTTTGTTTCCTTTATTGCAGTCTGCACAAACACACGCACGTTTATCACCGTTTCTCACCATCCGCAGAAGTCCTTCACACACCGATGCGATTATATACGGCGGGTACCCCGCCTCGAATAACCGTCCTAGCTAGCTGTGTTTACCTTGACTCCGGAACTGCTCCTGCCTAGGTCAATGCTCTTTTAAACCGAAACCTTGACTGGGCACCCTAAAAATGTTTCTAAATAAACAGCCATCGCACATCACACACTTCTACAAATGAGGGTTCCAGCTGTGATGAGTGGGTAATAATCTACTTATTACATGACAAAAAACACACACACAAGGCGCACATTTTCAGTGCTCCTTTAAATCTCTGTATGGGGACAGACTTTGCACCCCCTCCCTTTCGGCTCATGCCTATACTAATAAGGTATCTAAATAAATTCTTGCAACAATGAATGCATAAGGTATTCAACTTCTCTTTCACAGCAAATTGAAAGGATCATGGAAAAAGCATCCAAGACACACAAGCAAAGAGTAGAGGTAAGTTGGTGCCAATTTTTTATATTTTTCAGATACATACTCAGTTGATAATTATGACAAACACGACATGAAATTCGTTAAGTTGATGCACTAACAAAATTCACTGAGGATCTTCAGAAATGGCAAGAAAGTAAATCAACAGCTAGCAGCATATGTGGCCTCTTATGCTTTATTTCAACGAATGTGTAAGGGGCTTACTCTGTTACTTTTTAATCGGAAGCTGTTTGAAAGCACAAATATTGTTAAACCATACTGTTTTATTAGCGTTTAGTAGTTACTTCTGCAAGTGCAGAGCACTCTGTGGCTTGGGCTGTCATCGTTGCTTGGCGTAATGCAGGCAAAACCACATTTAGCATAGCCATCTGTTGCATATCGAGCGTGCGCTTGTGCCTAAGAAATGTCTTCTTCCTCCTCTTCTTTGAGCGCCTTCATGATGATATTAAGTGCAATGCACTTTAGGGGTCCAGGCTGTTGTTACTTGAGGTAATGCAGGCAAAGCCGCGTATAAAAACAAAAAAAAAAGGAAAAAAAAAGAGAAAAAGAAAAAATTGGCAGAAAGTAGAAATCAACAGAAAAGTAAAAATACAGATCAAAAGAAAGAAGGTGTGGAAGGAAAAAAAAAAAAAAAGAATCGATGAGAAATGCTGCTCAGCTCCGCACTTTCTTCAGGCTTGCAAAGCAATTCTAATCTTTTAAATCTTTTTTTGTCAGCTTACACACAAACATTGGTACAGGAGGGTACAGAAATAAATATGTTTGTGTTAGCGCATGTGGGCATGGCTTATGTATTTGGCTAGGTGTCATGACCAGAGGTACAATACGTTTACAAATATAGCTGTTTTTTGTGCTGTGGAATTTCTTCTAATAGTGCTGCTGACAGTAACTGTCTGGTACAATTTTTACTGTTATGCACTTACAAAACCAGTCTTTACTTTACTGCAGGAATTCAACCGGCACTTGGATTCGCTGACAGAGCATTATGACATTCCTAAAGTGAGCTGGACGAAATAAGCATCCTTCATGTGATTCTCGACAGGACGTTTGCTTTCAAGGACATTCATCAGCTTGCGCTGCGACGCACTGTGCTCATCTCAAAGACCTGTGGCAACTAGAAGCATGTATAAAAGTCTGCAAGCGTGTTGTGTGTAGAAAGTTTATGTAGGTTCAACCATTCTTGTTGTGTATACATCCATAAGACTGTATATTGGTAAAAATAAAATGGCCCTTCTCCTGATGAGAAATGAATTTGCTCTGTGAATAGCTCAGTGTTTCATGAATGTAACGAGGTGGTTTTAGTGAATGCTAAAACATCTTGGTGAGATTTGAGTGCTTTTAGAGTGCAGCTCTCAGGCGCCCGCTCCTGTGGTGAGCTGCTTTGCCTTTGCAGTCCGTAATGTAAACTATATACATGAAAAATTAAAAGAGAAAAAAAAAAAGCCAGGATTGAATGGGATTTTAACCCTGGTCCTCTGTGTGGCAGTTAAGTATCTTACCACAGGGCCGCCATACTGGTGCTTGAAACTTGCTTGCAGAAAGACCTTATACAGGTGTAATGTCAGGCGGAGAATAGTGCTAACTTATGCAAAAATATTGTTGCAGAAATGTAAAAAGAAAACCAGTCTACACAAAACATTGATTGATAAACGAACATGTGGTTTAATACTTCCCACCCAGTAAAGAGCTTGGCCATCATTCTTCATTGTCATCAGTCACTTGCAGCATCAACAAAGTGCACATAAATATCTACAGGTGTGGATACCTCAGTTAAGTGCAGAAAGATGAATAATGGCGTAGTGTGTACTGTTCTACATCACAACACAAATTGTAGTTTATGGGGTTGTTGGTACCTTGCGGGAAGTTAAAAGTTCAAACAACATTGGCCTTGCTGCAACACGAAGCTGCACTCAGAATTTGAATTGGCCAGTATCATAATCATTGTAAACTTCTTGGGGTTTTTGGAGAGACTGTCTGTCTGTCTCCCCCTATGACATTTAGCTCTCCTTGCCGATTCAATAATGGTATTGATACCAAATTTGGTATGGCATAACATGAGAGTATGACGAGCATATGTGACTAGTCTTAGAATGAAAATCATGACATGTATGTCATAAATGTCATGATTTACATTTCATGGTCTTGCTGCGCTTGCGGTAGTTTGGTTCACATGAGATATTGCAAAACTGGCATGGTATGACATGACTGCATGGTGAAGATAAGTTACAGACCCTAACATGGAAATCGTGACATGCATGTCACATAAGTCATGACTACACGCTCATGATACGCTCGCGGTGGTTTCGCTAGTTTCACATATACCAAATTCTGTACTACGGGATGTTAATTGATGACGATGGGATATGACTGGTGTAAACATCAAAATAATGATATGCGTCATGTAAGAACATGTCTACATGCCACGCTCGTCATGTACTACATAATTTACGTTGGCCTCGTAACATTGTGCTGATTTTAAAGTGACATATCAACCTTCCTAATTAGCACTTTGCATATCATCGATTCCCACTGTACATAGGATCTGCCAATTTTTTTCTCTTTCGCATGTTCATGTAGGGGACAATGTTGCTTGCAGTCAGTATGCATGCTTGACGGCGCTCTTAGCGAGTTAACCATAAATGGCTGTTCTATTATTAGCCTCCATTCATGAGGCTGAACCTATGAATGATATAGGCATAGGTCCACAGAAGTTTCTAGAAATGCTCCTTCCTGTTAACTGCCATGAATTTGAGGAAAACGCAAACATATGCCACATTTTCAAGTGTAAAATGCAAGTATAATATGGAAATTGTTTTGATTTCATGGCAGAAAAGGCTGTGAATCTTTCCAGAGTGCAAAGCACAGGCATATGTATGCATCCTGTAAGACATGCAATTGAAACTATACTCATTAAGGGTTGACCCAGCTCAAATTACTTCGTTAAGTTGGAATTAATGACAGCTGTGGCTAAAGAAATCAGTCGAAGAATGCAGCACAGCGTTGCACAAAAACGTCTTGTTTTCGACTCCTGAGGCGTGCTAATAATCGCAGTGCGAGATACAATGAAAATGACTGCTGGGCACAGTGAAAATGTATTGCTGGGGAAGGTTACCTTCGAACCTCTGCAATGAACACTTTTCTAGAACACCTACCTTAGATCGGAAGCACTCGCCACTAGAGAACATCAATTCGGTTTTACGAAGTGACGCGCGTAGTGCACCTGAAGTCACGATGAGTTTTAAAGCGCGCGGAGCTCAGTTGTTGCGTTATCGTCGGTTTGCAGCAGCACGGTGAGACGGTGAGATTCAATGACCGTTCAGCGCTGGATCACGACAGAAACGGCCGCATTTTCGCGGTCTCTAAGCCCCGCCAAATGTGATTACGCTAGCAGACGATTCCGCGACGGCGTTAATGGCGCCCGCATCTAGTGTAGCCAGATGCTGTCGCAGCAGTCTAGTACTTACGCGTAAATCAAGACACCACCATTTTCATTTCTTACACGTGGGATTAGACATTTCTTTATATTTTTACTAAACTACTAGTGAGAAAATTGTTTTCCCGTTTTTGCTGCTTGTTGCAAAACACCGCTAGGGTACGCCCCTGTTGTCGCGCTTCAGAGCATGCTTCAGAGCCTGGTGGCCTGGTTTCACCCGTTTCACCATAGTTTCGCGTTTGTGGAATGTGGCGGGAAACGTGCGACAACAACGCATTTTCCTTCTCGTTCGCCTGATGTCTTTGGAAGTTCCAGAACACCGCAGTGGCCTTCTACTCACAAAAAGTAAGTCTATTTCTTTGCTCGCCGGGCGAAAGGATTTCCTATGGAGTGATATTCGCTTTTGCAAAAAGGTCGCCAACTTTGATACTACGCTTGAGCGGCATTTGCGCTTGATCGTCCAGGAATAATGTAGAGAAATCCACTTGTCAGGGCATATAACTAAACTTTTCTACGATTAGGTAATGTCATACGCATGCTAACGACCCGTGTGGTTATGATAAAAACCTCCCCATAAGAGGACGAAGCCGACAACTGTTAGGTGAGGCTCCCTAGTACGGGGTCCCGTCGACGATAGTTATAGCGCGAGAACAAAAGGACGACACAGAGACAAGAGGGACACGAAGGACTCTGTGTCGTCGTTTTGTTCTCGCGCTATATCTATAGTCATGCCATACCAACTAGCCCAAGCTGGGCTCGTCGATGCAAGGCCTTTTGGGTCTGAAATTAAAAAAAAAAAAAAACAGCCAAGCGGGGTCGCCTACCACTCCCCCCAGGTTGGGTTGGGGATAGGTGGCACATATTCGAAGACTTTTCCGCACACTGTGAACAATTTTCGGAAAAAAAAGGCTCGAGTGCTGCCGGGCACAGCATAGGAGCGGGTGACAGTCCTGCGCCGATGGTTTGCTGAAGTAGCTCTATTAAGGAGTTTGCAAAAGAATGACCGGAAATGCCTGCCGGTGTGACACCCATGAACCTGTTGCATCGTGACGCCGGTAAAGATGTACAGCCGCCCATTTTTAAATACATGACCGCGCGAGCGTCGAATGGATGGATGGATGCCATCTTACGAGCCTGCTCCTTAATTATGACGGCGCGGTGACAAGTGTTCCACCAGGCTGGACAAATAGAGAAAGAAGATGTTTCCTTCTGTTTTTAGGTTGGCCTAGTTGATGTTGGCTAGCCAGTCATTCACTTCCTCGAACACATCACCATGAAACGACTTCAGGATGCATGCTGCGTAGTTGCTTAGAGTTGATGTGAGTTAGTCTTTGCCACTCTTTTGTGTCTGACTTGCCGTTGTAATAGTCATCCTTGCCAGGCTCAAGGCACCAAGTTCAGAAGGTAGTCTTAACAAGCGGTGGCCGTAATGAAGGGCCAAGTTTTCGTCCGGAATTGTGGCAATGGTGGCAGAAGCTTGGGCGTCTCGAGTTTTGACTGGTGCATTCGGATTGTACCCAGCACCTATATCAGTTTGTCACGGCAATAAAAGGAGAACAACTAGCAGTACGGCAAACAGTGGAACAGCTTCAATCGAGCAGCGAGTTCTCGCTTTTCTCAACTATCAGCGCTACCTTCATCATGCACAAGTAATGATGAAACTAGCCGTGCAGCAGCCAGATACCCACTAAATGCCCGTGTAAATATTGATGAGAAGAAACACACAAGAATGCTGAGGAAAGTGTAGGGGATGTTATTAGGAATAATTTTAATGTGAAGAAAGAAAAGTGGACCGAAAGGTAAGTTGCTGCTGGAAGGGACCGAAAACAAGTTATCTTTCTGTCCGCTTTTCTTTCATCATAGTTACACTACAATTACTCCTAATAACGTCTCCTATGCTTTTCTCGGCATCTTTGTATGTTATTTATTATTAACCCCATGTCCAAGAATTTCTCTTATGTTCGCGATTTATTCTTTTGCTGAACATCTGCCTTTTTGGAATTGTCAATTTTGCTGGCTAGTGAAGCTCCAGAAATTGATCTGACGCCACATTACACAGGCATGCCTTTATTTATCACTCTTGACAGTGAAGTAAAATGCAATTGCATAACGTCGGCATGATGCAACAAATTGACTAGGGCAAACTTTACAAGCAGAGATCCAGAAGTTTTTTAGAATTCTTGCAAGCAGTTTTCTAGACTTCTAACAATGTGGCGTTAACACACCTAGAGGAACTTTTCAAGCTGCTTAGGTCTGAATAACTTCTTAACAAAACTTCTAGTATACTTTTGGAATTTCCTTTCCATATGTTTATTAGAAGTTTTCTTTCTTTTCTTGTGTTTTGTGGGGTGCCGCATAGACTTAAAGATTATGAATGCAACCATCACTGGCCCTGGCGTCATCTGGTTTGCAAGAGCGTTACCGACTACAGAGTCCATTATTTTGTGCGTGTCTACAGAATGATTGGGCGAGTTGGTGATACATGATTACTTGAAATAAAAGCGCACTACGTAGATGTGGACAGGATAGACAGGGATTCAGAAAAAACTCTGGTGATATTAGAAAAAACCTTGTTAGAGTATGGTGGCCAGGCTAGTTCATCGATTCGGGTTGGTAACAGTAATGGACCTCGGGAGCATTTTCCGAAGAATGGAAATATTTTTTGTTGGATAGGAAACATCAAATATGGTTTGTTTGTGTCGAGTTTTATAGGTACTGTTTTTTCTGCCTTATAAGCCGGTACTGAGTGCATGATTGAAGAGAAACCCTCATCTGTCAAACATAGATGGAAAAAATCAGAGCCGCCCCGCCGCGGTGG